TCATACACTGAGCTCGCCAAGCCGCGTGTCCCTCAATTGGATGAGTATGGCATGCCTAAGAAGACAAATCTGGCAGATCCTTGGGAATCGCGCCACGGCATTGGATCTGCTTTCAAGGAATTGGCCCCTCACATGGCTAAGCAGCAGCTTGATCCTTTCTTTGAATTCTTGATTGAGAACGGGCCTTTGGGCGACCAGAACGCGAACGTCCGTGGCGAGATGCTAGATGCAGCCATCCACGCCATTGATCTGCATGGCAAGGGAATGGTCGACAAGTTGATGAAGGTATTTGAGCGTACGCTCGAAGGTCCCGATAAGAATACTGAAGCGTCAGACCGTGTCAACGAGGCCGTCATCATCATGTACGGTGCGCTTGCGCGTCACTTGAACCCGGGCGATTCAAAACTTCCTGTGGTCATCGACAGACTGCTGGCGACCTTGAGCACGCCTTCCGAGACCGTGCAGTATGCTATTGCTGATTGCCTGCCACCTCTGGTTCGGGCTTACGGAGACAAGTCATCCAAGTACTTCGCGCAAGTTCTTGAGACTCTGTTGACTTCCAAGAAGTATGCCGAGCAGCGAGGTGCTGCTTATGGTCTCGCCGGTCTCGTTCAAGGCCGTGGCATTTCATCACTCAAAGACCAGCGCATTATGATGACACTGAGGGGTGCCATGGAAAACAAAAAGGAGCCGAACCAGAGAGAAGCGGCCCTCCTAGCTTACGAGCTTCTTTCCACCATCCTAGGTCGTCTCTTCGAACCCTATGTCATCCAAATCGTCCCTCAGCTCCTTACTGGCTTTGGTGATGCCAACGCCAACGTCCGAGACTCCTGCCTGGCAGCGGCAAAGGCCTGTTTCGGCAAGTTGAGTTCATATGGTGTCAAGAAGATTCTTCCTACTCTACTCAACGGTTTGGACGATGACCAATGGCGTAGTAAAAAGGGAGCCTGTGACCTGCTGGGAGCCATGGCTTATCTTGACCCCAACCAGCTGGCGCAGAGTTTGCCGGACATCATCCCTCCTCTCACTGGTGTTCTCAACGACAGTCACAAGGAGGTCCGCTCGGGTGCCAACAAGAGCTTGAAGAGATTCGGCGAGGTTATCAGTAACCCTGAGATCAAGGGTCTTGTTGACATCCTTCTCAAGGCGCTCAGTGACCCCACTAGGTACACGGATGATGCCTTGGATTCTCTGATCAAGGTCCAATTCGTGCACTACTTGGATGCTCCGTCACTGGCGCTGGTCACAAGAATCTTGCAACGTGGCTTGGGCGACCGTTCAAACACCAAGCGCAAGGCAGCACAAGTCATTGGCAGTCTTGCGCATCTCACTGAGAGAAAAGACTTGGTCTCGCACTTGCCAATTCTTGTTGCGGGACTCAAGCTTGCCATCGTCGATCCAGTTCCCACAACTCGTGCCACGGCATCAAGAGCTCTGGGATCACTTGTGGAGAAGCTGGGAGAAGATGCCCTGCCGGATCTCATCCCTGGCCTCATGCAAACCCTCAAGGCAGACAACGGCGCTGGTGATCGTCTCGGTTCCGCTCAAGCTCTCAGCGAGGTTCTCGCAGGTTTGGGTACCACCAGACTCGAAGAGACTCTCCCGACCATTCTGCAAAACGTCGAGTCGACCAAGCCCGCTGTTCGCGAAGGCTTCATGTCCCTCTTCATCTTCCTCCCTGTTTGCTTTGGCAACAGCTTTGCAAACTACTTGGGCAGAATTATTCCGCCCATTTTGTCTGGTCTTGCTGATGATGTGGAGTCTATCCGCGAGACTGCTCTTCGTGCAGGTCGCCTCCTCGTCAAGAACTTTGCTGTTCGCGCTGTTGATCTGCTACTTCCCGAGCTTGAGCGCGGCTTGGCTGATGACAGCTACCGCATTCGTCTCAGCTCGGTCGAGCTTGTTGGTGACCTTCTCTTCAACCTTACAGGTATCAGTGGCAAGGCTGAGGACGAAGAGGAGGACGAGGAGAGCGCCAGAGAGGCAGGAGCATCACTCCGCGAGGTCCTCGGCGAAGAGAAGAGAAACAAGATTCTCTCTGCTCTCTATGTTTGCCGCTGCGATACCGCCAACGCTGTCCGCTCTGCCGCCGTTGCTGTGTGGAAGGCCTTGGTTTCCAGCCCTCGCATTCTGAAGGAGTTGGTGCCGACGCTTACTCAACTCATCATCAAGCGTTTGGGAAGCTCCAACATGGAGCATAAGGTCATTGCTAGCAATGCTCTTGGCGAATTGATTCGCAAGGCTGGCGATGGTGTTCTCTCCACCCTGCTGCCTACTCTTGAGGAGGGATTGCAAACCTCCACCGACACAGACGCGAAGCAGGGTATCTGCCTTGCCCTCAAGGAACTTATTGCCTCGGCGTCAGAGGATGCCCTGGAGGACCACGAGAAGACGCTCATCTCTGTCGTCAGAACAGCCCTCACTGATTCAGATGCTGATGTTAGGGAGGCTGCCGCAGAAGCCTTCGACTCACTCCAGCAGATTCTGGGTAAGAGAGCTGTGGATCAAGTACTTCCATACCTGCTCAACCTCCTTCGCTCCGACGAGAACGCCGACAACGCCTTGTCAGCCTTGCTTACCCTCCTCACTGAGACGACTCGCTCAAACATCATTCTTCCCAACCTTATCCCCACGCTTATTACCCCTCCCATCTCTGCGTTCAACGCCAAGGCTCTTGCTTCCTTGTCGAGGGTGGCCGGTGCCGCTATGAACCGCCGGCTGCCCAACATCATCAACTCACTGATGGAAAACATCATCACCTGCGAAGACGATTCTTTGCGTGAGGATCTTGAGACATCTTTCGATACTGTTATCCTGTCTATCGACGAGTATGATGGACTCAACACAGTCATGAACGTACTGCTTCAGCTCACGAAGCACGACGATCACCGAAGACGTGCAGCGACGACCCGCCACTTGGGCAAGTTCTTTGCCGCTGGCGAAGTGGATTACTCGCGCTACAATCAAGATATTGTGCGGTCGCTTCTTATCTCCTTCGATGATAGAGACGCAAGCGTCGTCAAGGGTGCGTGGGCTGCACTCAGCGAGTTCACCAAAAAGCTCAAGAAGGAGGAGATGGAAGGCCTGGTTATCTCCACCAGACAAACTCTGCAACAGGTCGGTGTGGCCGGCGCGAACTTGCCCGGTTTCGAGCTTCCCAAGGGTATCAACGCCATCCTGCCTATCTTCCTGCAGGGTCTTATGAATGGCACGCCGGAGCAGAGAACACAGGCGGCTCTGGCTATTTCCGATATCGTCGACCGGACAAGCGAGGCTTCGTTGAAGCCGTTTGTCACACAAATCACAGGTCCACTCATTCGTGTTGTTTCCGAAAGGTCCACGGACGTCAAGTCTGCCATTTTGTTGACTCTCAACAACCTCTTGGAAAAGATGCCTGCGGCACTGAAGCCATTCTTGCCTCAGCTTCAACGCACATTCGCCAAGTCTCTTGCAGACACATCGAGCGAGGTCCTCAGAGCCCGCGCGGCCAAGGCGCTGGGTACTCTCATCAAATACACGCCGCGTATCGATCCGCTGATTGCCGAGCTCGTTACCGGCTCCAAGACATCGGACCCTGGTGTCAAGACGGCTATGCTCAGCGCGCTTTACGAAGTCATCAGCAAAGCTGGCGCCAATATGGGCGAAACATCGCGAACCGCCGTTTTGGGTCTCATTGATATGGACACCGACGAGAGGGACGATGCTATGACGATCACGAACGCCAAGCTACTTGGAGCACTGATCAAGAATGTTCCCGAGGAGGTTGCTAATGGGTTGCTCAAGCACAGAGTTGTGACTAGCCACTGGAGTCACTCTTCGGCACTTGCGCTGAACGCAGTGCTCGTGGAGTCTCCGAAGAGTCTCCTAGAAAGTCCTCTCGCGGACGACTTGCCCGACCTCCTCGGCCAGGGCATGTCTCACAAGAACGTAAGTAACTCATGGCGATGGCCTCCAAATAACGCAAAACTAACACGTGCCACAGCCTTATATTGCCGACAACGTCATCCTCGCGACGGGCAAATATCTCCTTTCAGATTCAACAAAATCTTTTGACTCGAATAAGAAGATTTTTGAGGCACTGGCCAACACCATTCAACCGGGTGGCCCTGTCGACTCGCGCCGACTTGCTCTGGTTATTGTCCGCACAATGAGCCGCGTGGACATGGACATGGTCAGGCCGCATGTTGCTGCGCTTGCAGGTCCCATCTTTGCCAGTGTCAGAGATCCTGTTATTCCGGTCAAGCTGGCCGCCGAAGCCGCATTCATGGCTTTGTTCAATGTGGTGGACGATGAGACACGGATCTTTGACAAGTACGTCGAAGGCGCCAATCTGCCGCCGAACACCAAGAGGAGCATGCAGGATTACTTCAAGCGCGTCACGATGCGGCTGGGTGCCCAAGCACGTGAGCGAAGAGAGGCTGAGGGTGGCCAAGGGGGCCTGGGTCTGTCTAACGACGAGGCCGAGGACGAGAAGGAGATCTGGAGCGTGGGTAAGGTGGACGTTGGTGAGGATGTGTTTGGCAAGTAGATAGGCACGACGGTTGTTGTAAAAGGAAGGGGTCAATATTGAAATTTAAAAGTTTTGTTTTATATAATCACTGAGCGGGCTTTGTTGAGTGAAAGATTATTTGCTCCCTCGTTAAAGCTAACAAGAGAGTAAGGCGGTTTGTGCGGCCCTGGCAGACGATGAAGGCACGTTGTGGGTACGTTATCTGATACAGCAGGTGTGACGCTCCATCGAAGTTGAGATATCTCCTAGAGAATCAACGGCGGCGAGCGAGACCAAATACAATACCTTCCCACGTGCAGTGGCTACCTTATCGAGGCGACAAACCTCCTATTTCGCCAAATCACAGCTGAAGTCAAGGTGTAAATCAGGTAGGTTCAATGGGTTCGGCGGAAACCATCTAATTCTTTAATTGTCCAACTCAATCTGCGTTCACGAGAGGATAGGAAGATGACATTAGGTGTCGTCAAATTTCGAGGTACCTGAGGTACCTATGGCGGGATCCTTGCCTAGTCATGCTAATCTTCCAAAGGTGCCCTGGACATGTGGTGCAAGTAGGTACCTGATGTACTACGTATATCTCGTTTGCGTGCACCGGCCCCCTAAGACACACCAAAGGGCCTATGTCGTTGACGACACGTGACCTAGGAGCGAAAGTGTGGCCTCGATTTTTCCGGGCTCGCTTACCCATCGCCCCACATTGCCCACACAGAGTCAGCCCCGACTCTGCTCTCACACTTCGCCTTTCAGAAAAATTGGCCTCCTGTCACCCCTCTCGAAATTTCAACACCCTCGACTCCCCCGGTAGGTACGACCATCGACTAGGACAGCATTCAAGATGTAAGTTATCACGATACGAGCACTACACCATTCTTCCACCGAGCCCAAATCGATTTGCGTCGCCTTCTGCACCGGGCAAGCCTCATTTAGGGTCTATCGAAGCCCGGGACACGCGGGGGCGACAAAAACCGACGACGGCATCCATTTATTCGACGGCGGGGCGACGATATTTTTTTCTTCCATCACCAAGGACAAATTGCTGATGTCCAATGTCTTCACAGGGTCAATCTGCGAACTCAGAAACGCCTTGCCGCGTCGGTCATCGGCTGCGGTGAGCGCAAGATCTGGCTCGACCCCAACGAGGTCAACGAGATCTCCAACGCCAACTCTCGCCAGACCATCCGCAAGCTCGTCGCCGATGGCCTCATCATCCGCAAGCCCGTGACCATGCACTCGCGGTCCCGTGCCCGTGAGCTGAACTTGGCCCGCCGCATCGGTCGCCACCGTGGCTTCGGTAAGCGCAAGGGTACCGCTGAGGCCCGTATGCCCAGGTTCGTCGACACCATTCCCATCGATCGGTCCCTTGTTGGAAGTTCTTTTTTGGAATATCACTTGAACAATCCCTAAACGTTGGACAACAACGATGCCCACAAGTCTCTCGACTCGCGGACCGATTTGATAAATCCGGCAGAGATTCGTGTACTGACTCCCAATACAGCCAGGTCCTCTGGATGCGCCGCCTCCGTGTCCTTCGCCGTCTTTTGGTGAAGTACCGTGCCTCCGGCAAGATCGACAAGCACCTTTACCACGAGCTTTACCACTCCAGCAAGGGTAACGCCTTCAAGCACAAGCGTGCTCTCGTTGAGCACGTAAGTCTAGCTCCAGCTATATCTTTGGATTTATACATGGGAGATGAGTGGTGGGCTGACGCCGGATACCTCACAGATTCACCGTGCCAAGGCCGAGAAGGCCCGCGAGAAGGCTCTCAAGGACGAGATGGACGCCAAGCGCGCGAAGACCAAGGCTGCCCGCGAGCGCAAGCAGGAGAGACAGACGGCGAAGAGAAACGCTCTGTTGGGCGAGGGCGAGGAGGAGGCCAAATAGATGATCACGATCGATCTCGGTCCTTAGGCGGCTGCATTCGGAGTCATCGGGTTGGGTCTTCTTTTTTTACGTCCTACTGTCCCTATTGTCGCAGCAGGGCTTTGGCATGTAGCATTGAAAAATGGAAATCGATGACATGGCAAATTACGGGAACGAAAATGAGTAGCAGCAATTCTTTTACGGTTCTACATTCATGAGAGTCCTCGTGACATTTTCCTGGTCATGTCTGACGATAGATACCCTTTTTCAACCCTTCTCAGAATCGTTCACCAGCTGGGCCAGTTACTCGTCTTTCTCTCGGTGAAGTCTAAGCGTCATACACCGCGTGCTTGTCCGCGCTCATCAAGCATGGGCCACCACCTAATGGGATTATCGGGCTAAAATATGTTTGGTTTGATGGACATCGAAAATTGGCCACACAAATCTTCCAGCCAAAAGGAACACAGGGAACTTCAGCACTCAAGTCATGCCCATTGGGTCGACTGTAAGTGAGTGCTCGAAGCCGTTCAAGATTTCCATCAGTATTTCACCAGACGGTGTCAGCCCATCATGATTTGGGCTTCTACAATCAGGAGCGTATGAGGCCACGGCAAAGCATACAAGGGACTATTGGGCTGTCCACTACTATTGCTTCGAGCATGCCGCGGACAACCAGTTGGCTTCTCCACAGTAGTTCAAACCAGATGCTTCATCGGTCGGGAAGGACGTCCGTGGCACTTGCTAGGATCCCCGTCCCCGATTGCATTCAGTGTCACAATTTTGAACATTTGTTCTACCTGAGGGCGGAACGGATGGAAGAGTGGTTCTAAAACCGTGTCCGTCGTGTCGCCCATCAAGTTAGGATGGAAAAGGTTGGAATAATCAAAAACCAAACAAATATCTATGAGTAAAGAAGCACAACATGGATTGGATCAGATTGTTTCATATTGTCCTGAAAAAAGGTGGTGAGGACGCCAGAACATTTCATCATGCACCCGCCGAAGCGGAAGAGCTGATGTGACAATAAGCGTGCTCGTCATCTCCAATTTAGTTGTAAAGAAGAGAAGAAGAGAAAGAGAAAAGCCGAATTCACAACGCGGCCTTGAAAAAGGGTAGAGATTGTGGGGCTGGGGCAAGCGCGGCGGGTCGCTACCGAGGGGCCCGTGCGGGTTTTGCTCAACGTTCTCAACTTTCCACGGAGGACGGATCACAACGGCCCCTGAAGGCTTGGAATGATATCAGTGCCTTTGGTGTGTTTCTTGTCCCACAACGATGGGCCGATGCGATAAGAAATGATAAGCGCGCAGCGCGGAGCGCAGGTTGGTAGACTGGAAGCTGAGGTGGAACGCAGTGCGCGACGGACGAGTGCGAGGTCGGAAGTTGAGCCGAACACCGGCTCCAACCGCCAACCACCAACACAGCACTGAGCAGCTCGGCCACCACACCGGGCGCTTTGCTTTGCCTCATGGTTCTCGGGTCACATTCCGCCTGAAGCAGCGGCAGATGTCCCCCGAAACCCCCCAATCCCCAGGTCCTTATGTACCGCGGTCCCCCAATGCCTGTGCACGCCCGCCGCCGCTACATCATGGCATTGTTGTAGCTGGGTCAATTGGTTTGTAGTTGTAAGCTCCGTCCCTACCTTATACACCGGTATGTCGTCCGCCTTCCTTCCTTAACCGCCACCTACTCTGTCTCACCCTCCAACTTATTCTCCTACGCATCCTCCAATCTTCTTCAAGCTTCACAACAACTATTGGAATAGGCAATTGATTTCTCAATTCAATAGTTCCCTTCTCACGCCGGCGCCATGTCACTTCCAGCATTTCGAGGCACTGCTCGTGCTTCCCGCTTCCTGCCGAGGGCGGCGTCACTCCCCTGCGCAGGTGGCGTGAGGAGATTCATCTCGACCAAGAGCTTGGAGGGCCAGCAACAGGTGCGCATAGCTGCCCCTACTGCGTTTGGACACAAACGGGAACGTTCCTCGACTGACTCTACAAGCAACAGCTGCTGGCAGCCAAGCTTCAGCAGGCCGACCCCGCCGTCTACGACATCATCGAAAAGGTACGAGCCCACCCAAGCCGCCGATAGCTCCCCAGCACACAAACTTGTGCGCCAACGATGCGTCCCATACGGCATGCCCGCTGACACAGTTGGAAATACGCAGGAGAAAACCAGACAGAAGCACTTCATCAATCTCATTCCGTCAGAGAACTTCACCTCCCAGGCTGTTCTCGATGCCTTGGGCAGTGTGATGCAGAGTAGGTCCATTGGCAGCTCAGGATACGGCGAAAGCTAAGATTATGTCCAAGACAAGTACTCCGAGGGTTACCCCGGCGCAAGATATTATGGCGGCAACGAGTTCATCGACCAGTCAGAGCGTCTCTGCCAGCAGCGTGCCCTCGATACGTTCGGTCTCGACTCAAAGCAATGGGGTGTCAATGTTCAAGGTGCGCCCAGCTTGTAGCATACGGTCCCGCTTCCTATGCATTTACTTACACCTTCTTCTAGCTCTGTCCGGTGCGCCGGCCAACTTGTACGTCTATTCGGCGTTGATGGACACCCATGATCGCCTCATGGGTCTGGACCTGCCTCACGGCGGTCACTTGTCACACGGCTACCAGACACCGACTAAGAAGATCTCCGCCATTTCAAAGTACTTCGAGACAGTCCCCTACAGATTGGACGAGGCTACTGGGCAGATCGACTACGCCAAGTTGGAGGAGCTTGCTATGCTCTACCGACCCAAGATCATTGTCGCAGGAGCCAGCGCGTACAGCCGTTTGATCGACTACCAGCGCTTCCGCGAGATCTGTGACAAGACCAACGCTTACCTGGTGGCCGATATGGCCCACATCTCCGGCCTGGTGGCAGCCAAGGTCATGCCCAGCCCGTTCGACTACGCCGATATCGTCACTACTACAAGTCACAAGAGTCTGAGAGGACCTCGTGGCGCCATGATCTTCTTCCGCAAGGGAGTACGTCGCCAGAATGCCAAGAAGGAGGACGAAATGTACAACCTCGAGGGCCCTATCAACGCCTCCGTCTTCCCCGGCCACCAGGGTGGCCCTCACAACCACACCATCACCGCCTTGGCCGTTGCCTTGAAGCAGGCCCAAGCCCCTGAGTTCCGCGCCTACCAGTCTCAAGTTCTGGCAAATGCGAAGGCGCTATCCCAGAGACTAGGTGCTCCCAAGGAGAAGGGAGGCTTGGGCTACAGCATTGTCTCCGGCGGCACCGACAACCACCTGATCCTTGTGGATCTCAAGCCCCAGGGTATCGATGGTAGCCGCGTTGAGCGTGTGCTGGAGCTGGTTGGTGTTGCTGCCAACAAGAACACCGTGCCAGGCGACAAGTCGGCACTTGTGCCAGGTGGACTGCGCATTGGCACGCCTGCCATGACGACGAGAGCGTTCACCGAGGAGGACTTCAGCCGCGTGGCCGACATTATTGACCGTGCCGTCACCATTGCTATTCGTGTGAACAAGAGCGCCAAGAAGGCGGCCGAGGAGAAGGGAGAGAAGAAGCCCGGTCTGTTGAGACACTACATGCAGCATCTCGGTGACGGTGAGAACGATCCCGAGATTGTTCAGCTTAGATCTGAGGTGGCCGACTGGGTGGGCACTTACCCTTTGCCGTGGGACGTCCACTCTTCTTGAGCGATGCGATGAGACCAGCTCCGACGAGCTTATAGGTCATGTAATTTCGTCGTGAAAAGGGCACTGGGCACGAATCTCTTCTTCTTTTATGGCGTTCTATGGGGGCATTTTTGATGAGACAGGCTTTGCGAAAACAATTTCGGTCTCAATTGTTTCATCCAGCCTTATTGATTTTCTTATCAAACACGGGTCTACATCCATGAGATTACCCACTTCCCCAGACTGCATATGCATCGTTTGGAGGGATTTAACAGACCAATTAGCGTTGACAACACTTGATCATCCTCAACGAGATGGTGGAATAGAAATTGCAGCTGCAGGAAAATCCGTTCTTAGTCAAGACCGTGCTTTGTTCAATTATAGTTGTGACAATTCGTGACCTGGGTCTTTCAAATGACTAACCCATTTACAGAAAAGGAAGACTATGAAAACCAAAGCTGTGAGAAAGGAAGTACAATGCATGGCTACGAAGTGTATTTGGAACTATTCAAAGCTATCCAGCATGCGATGTCCGCTTTCTAAACATTTCGCTCTCGAAGCTTGCCCCACGTCCGTCCTAGTACCGCCTTTGTAGCTCAGTCTTTCTGCGACTTCTTGCCTGAGGGACTCTCGCTCGGCTTCGATGCCTCAATCACGTCTTCAGTCTTTGGATCCGCCGAGACCGTCTCAGCGGCATCAGGTTGGGCTGCATCAAGAACCTTGGTGGCAGACTCTGTGGACCTGATTCTCTCGTAGTACACCTTCAGCTTCTTGGTCGCTTCTAGAGTTTCAGTGGTGGCATCCTTAAAGATTTCGTGTAACACCGGCCATACGGCAAAGTCGGCTAGCGACATGCTCGAGCCTGCAATGAAGTCGGCCTCGCCTGCGTATCCCTCCCAGGTGGCGAGCTCTCTCTTCAAGGGTGCGAGGTCGGCTTTCCCTGACTTGCTGTCCTTCTCGAGCCCCCGCCACTTGTTGAGTAGCGCAAGACCATCCTGGAAACGTGTAAGGGTTCTCGCAACATCGGCTTGCGCTCTGTCTGCCGCTCCCTTCTTTCCGGGCCCGTGCACTGAATCGAGATAGAGCATAATGGCCAGCTCGCCCTGAACCGTGGATTTTGCTACGTCATTGTCGACGAAACGAATGGGCAGCGATGCAGAAACAGCCGTCGTGTCCTTGCTGCCGGCATTGCTATCCTTCCAGTTGAAGGAAGGCGAAATGCTCCCTTTGCCGTACGAGATGCCGTACTCGGCTAACATGAGGGCGATGCGCATGTTGATGACGGGATCGGCCGAGGCGCAGAGGCGCGGAGAAGTGCTCAAGTGCAGAACGTCGAAGCCCTTGCCATAATACTTGTCCCAGTCGAAGTCGGACGAGTGATTCTCGGTGCCAAAGGCGTGGACCATGTCTACAGCCTGTGGACACTGACCGTTGATGACCGCCTGAGCCGTCTCTCTGGTCTTGCTGGTGGCTCCTTGGCCCCAAATTAGGGTGCTATCTCGGTCCAAAAAGGTACCAATCTGTCTAAAGGTGAGGGAGATGCGTCCCCCGTCGAAAGCCAATTCGGGAGGCGTCTTGTCTCGGTCCATCCTCTTGTCCTGGCGAATGGCGTGCAGCCATCGACCGTTCGTCGCCAGGCCTAGGCGGCAGAGTGAGTTGTGTGGCAGCTTTGCGCGACAAGCTTGTCGCTGCAGAGAGGCCTCGCCCGATGATGTTGCGGGGCCGAACGGGTCCTTGTCCCGCCTCTTGGTCCTGAACACCATTGTGCGCTCCGCACCCAAGCTGACGTTGGCAATGTACGATCCCTTGACAATATCCAGGGTCTTGTCGCTGTGCTCGGAGATGTAGTCGGTGCCGCTGCGGTAGAACTGAATCAAGACGTGATTCAGCGGGTGCCCGAGCTCCTTTTCGACCTCTGCCTTGATTTTCTGTACTGTGGGAGTGAAGGGGAAGAGGGGAGGTGATTCGTCTGACGGATGCCGGTATACGGGCATGCTTCCGTCGTCGGCTACCTCGCCTTGGACCGCGACCAGTCGAGGGACCTCGCCGCCCTGGTGGGACATTCTTTGCCAGGAGACCTCGTCTCTCACCTTCTCAAAGATTCCCCGGGCCAAGGTAGAAGGAAGGATGTTGTGAATGACGAGGGTGTCACCCTCGCACAGAGGTTCGGTAGCGTGGGGCGAGTCATCGACCTCGATTATGTCGTCCATGGCAGCGGGCTTCTTGGCTGGTTCTGGCTTCAACTCCGGGCTCGAGTCTGGCTCCAGTTCGATGTCGGACGTGGAAGATGCTTTCTCGTCGGCGATTTTCTTGTGAAGTTGCTGCCTTTTTATTGGTATTTTCTCCGGTACCGAGTCTGTGTCTACTTCTATTTCGAGACTCCCCTTGCCTACCATTGGCCTCTTTGATCGTTGGTGAAACTCTTTGTCGTCGGGTGAGTCACCTACTGAGCCAGCGTCCTCATCAACCTCCAAAACATCGGAGGCGGTTGCACAGCCCGGACCTGACAAGTCTCGACGTGGGCGTGAGATGGGAGGCTTGCTTGCCGAGGACTTTGAATTTTTGATAGAAAGATTGGCCAACTGCTCTTCTAGTTTCGTCTTGTATGAATCAGCCGATGGCGGCGTTTTACCACCACTGGCTTCCGCAATTCTCTTGGGCACGACGGGTGATGACGGGGCCGCCGGCTTTGACTCGGATTTGGGCTTTATTTTTTTTATGACAGCCTCACTATCCATCACCTCGCAGCCCGTTACTTCGAGGAGCTTGCTTAAAGAAGCGTTATGACGCACGTCGGAGCGGAAACCACAGCAGTCTTCGACCAAGGTGATAGAGTAGCCGAACGTGGCGGCATCCATTGCTGAGGCGTGGACGCCAATATTGGTGAGTGATCCGCAAATGTAAAGCTCGTGGACGAACTTGACGCGCATCATTTGGATCAGCTGGCCAGAGGAAAAGACCGAGTAATGTGACTTGGTCAAGTTGATATCCCTCTTGCCGATAGCTTCCTTGACGGCGGTGGGGTAATCGGCACCAGGCGTGCCAGGACGAACGACTTTGGGTCCAGGCTGGCTAAGGAAAGCCTCCGGGTCGGCATCGAAAGTCTCTTCAGGCGCTTGCTTAGATGTGCCTCCGATCCTTCTTCTAGCACGGGACTCGAGAATCTTCGGCTTTGGGATTGTGTCTGTAGCCCAGATCTGTTCCCCCGAGGCAAGGCGATACGTGTCGAATTCGCTGCGCACCCAGATAATGTCGCCGACTTTGCGAAAGGCCTCAACCAGCTCCAGGGTACGCGTGACCAGTTCGTTGCCGTTTGTGACTGGTAGGGCGCCGTCGGCAGACATGAAATCGTTGTTGAAGTCGATCACCAACAGACCCTTGCGCGTTGGCAGCGTGGGCATGGCGGTCACATCGAAAGGAAACATTCTGGCCGGAGTAGAATGAAGCCAGACTTGTGATGGTGACCGGATGGTGAGTACCAGGTGATGTTCAAGGCGACAGGACCTCCTCGCCCTTCCTTTTTTCGAATTTGGTTTATCAGGTTGGTTGAAGTGCAACGAGGTATCCCATAGGCTTATCCAATGTTGGGAAACCAATCACTGAGACAACATCAAGATGCCACTGTTGCCAGTACACAAAATGCTGCAAGCTTCATCAGTTCACTGTCTTGGTGGTGTGTAGGATTTGGGCTGAGTGTGACCGTACGGTGAGTGAAGAGAGGATATCGTAAGAAAGCAAGCGGGAAAGAGGCCGAGGTGTTTCTGGTTAATGGTTGTAATGTTATGTTATGTCTTCGGTAGTATGTTAATATGTACCGAGCATCGCACTCGAATGTCGATAGGCTCTGAGCCGGTGAAGTGAGTCTTTCAGAATTGGGCGAGACCGCAATCGTGCAACTGAGGGTTGAAGCGCAGGGCATTGGGTTCTTGCCTGTTCGAATCGGCTCTCGTCCGATATGGAAGTGGGTCAGCGGGGAGCTAGCGACCTGCGAATCGCGGAGGGAGCCGTAGGCGGGGGTTGGGTCAGGTACTCAGGTCAGGTCAGGTAGGGCTAGAACAGGTGGACCCTTGATCAGCTCACATGGACAAGACGGGCGTGAAGGGGTAGGATATGAGAGGCTGACATACCTTCTTATCGTTTTTGGAAGTCGAATTAGGAAGGGTAGAAGCTTCAACTCTCCAGAAGCAATCTGGCATACGGTTGTGACCCCCTCCATTGCCGAACAGAATCTCGAATACGTGAATACAAGCTCTTCCGTTGTTTACTCTCACCTGTCCGGCCCCTGTACCAACTTATATATCAGCCATTGCCGCAAACTTCACAGAAAAGCTCGACAGTCTGCTAACAATTGCAGAAGCTTCGAAAGTCGTTCAAATTGCGTCTCGCAAACACATTGTTTATTTAATTAACAAATTTTAATTTTTTTTAACAAAAGCTAACAAAATCAAGATGGCCATTCTAAATGTCATGTTGGTTGAATTCTAAATGCGTCTAAGTCTAGGATGTGTTTAATTCTATAGCCCCATATCTCATTCCCTTTGTGTTTCTTGCGTCTATTCGTTATAAGGTCTCCATCTACTCAACTTCTCGTGAAGTTCGCACCTGCACAGCTGATATATCCTTGCCCAGAAACCTCTCTTGGACCTGCCAAGCATACTTCACCGCATGGAACCCCAGAGGCCGAAACAACAGGCAGAGACCGCCTTTTGAGGCTGATGGATTTCATACCAATGTCTGGAAAGAATCCACCACGTCAGCAAAGGTAGGTCTCTCAGAGACAATGGAGTTGGAGCAGCGGATGTGCAACTCCCGCAAACTTTGCAGTGTCTGCTGTCTTCCATCACTCTCTTCGACATAAGCAACCCCGATCATGTCATCAATGAGGTGAGCGAATGCAAGTACCTCCAGCTTCTCAAAGTTGAATCTACCGAGGTGCTCGTAGATCGTCGCTGCTCCAAAGTCGCCCAGCAAAGCGTGTCCGTCTTCGTTCAAGAGAATGTTATGCGCATAGAGATCGCAGTGAGAGACTTTTCGGCTGTGAAGGTGAAGAGCAGCTGCGGCAACGCCACCCAATAGCTCAAGAATAACCTTGACCGACAATCTCTTGCCTGGTTCGTACCGGTCTCGAGTACAAGTGTCCAAGGAAGGCGGCAGCCCGAGACTCTGGTAATGGGGAGGAATGAGTTGCATAATGAGGCCGTGCTTCTCTGGATGGCCCTGGATGCTGGCCAAAGTGCTGATGAGGTTGTCGTGCGAACCTGCCGCCAGACAGGCGCCCATTTCATCTAGCGGTGTCCCGTCGCTCGTCACCTCCCCCTTGAACAGCTTCACAGCTACCTCTTCTACCACCGAGTCGGCGAGCATCCACCTCGCTTTGAAGATGTCGCCAGAAGCTCCGTGGCCCAGCAACTCCCTCATCTCAATATCCTCCCAGTCCACTTTGCGCAGCAGAGCAAGCTCCTCCTCGAGACTGACTGAGCAACAGGGATTGCCGGCAACAGATAGAAAGGCGAGTTCGGGGAGTTCAAACAGCCATTTCGGCAGGTCGGAGAAGTTATTGGCGGAAAGACGGAGTAGGCCAAGTTTACTGCAGGCCGCCATGTCATCCGGGAGGCTTGTGAGACTGTTGCCGGCAAGCATGCACTTCTGGAGCCGAGAGCAGCGGCCGATGCTTCGGGGCAGTGCCTCGATGCTGTTGTTCGTGAGGATGAGCCAACGTAGCTTGGGTGGCAAGGAATCTTCTGGGATGGTGCTCATGCCGTTGGAGCGAAATGCCACTATATCGAGTTCGGCACAGTCCGATAGCTGTTTGGGAAACACGGTGAACCGGCAGTCAGAAAAAAAGGCGATCTTGAGCTTGCGCAGCCGGCTGAAGTCATCGGGGAGAACAGAAATGCCGGTCCCAGAGAGATCTAGATGCTCGAGGGTTTCGGCTAGTTCCAGGATTTCCGAGGGGAATTCGTCCAAAGTGCCGGTGATTTTGAGCTTTTGGAGACCTTGGTCGCGATAGCCTCCATTGCGGAGAGTTTCAAGGTCCTGCATAATCGCAACAAACACTGAACGAGTGAGCGATATTGTTTGGTGTTACCCAAGTGACAGATAAACACTCAATTCCACACGTAAGCCAGTTCGGAGAGGGTTGAGGAAGCAATAATAACGACAGAGGTAAAAGAGAGCGACCACAAGCTATGAAAGTTACTGAACACTAGAACATTAAAAGTGTGAGGAAGTCTATTGTTAGGTCATGAAAGGGGTGCATCGAGGCGCTTGACTCAGATAAGATAGTGAGCACAGGTGGCCGAGATGGGTCTCCCTGCATTAATTAGACTATGTAGGGTAAGGTGAGTAAAGATACGACGTCCTCCTGTTGTACACGTATGCCTGCTATTAGCTGAAAGACAAAGAGCGAGTCTTTTGTTGTGAACCGGTTTCCTCTATATCTCTGCGGAGGCGTGAATACATAAGACAGTCCATCTTCGACTTTAGAATAGTGATGAGAGTACTTGAGGTAGAGCGAATGACAGCAATGCTCAAAGTCTTCACCTTGGAAAGTACTCAGTCCAATGATACCGTATTTTGCGACGAGATCGTACTTTGGGATCTGACATGGGAAAAACACCACTCCTTGGCTTGCGAAAGATCAGTAATGGGATAAAGAGACAAACGGCTTCGAAATAATAATTACCTTTTCAAGTCGATTCCTTTTTCTGGTAAGCCTAGAAGTATTGGACGTCCACCATCTCGGGTGTTAATGTCCAGGTCACCCATCATCCATCCATGATTGGCTCAGGGCCCCTTCAGGCGCTGAAGGGTGGATTCAAGTCTGATTTCAGTGGATGATGAGCCGCGGGGCAACTGCCGAGCCCCCCAGAAAGACAGAAAAAGAGCCTCATCCCAAATCCCAGTTTTCCTCATCGTCGGTACGTACCCATCCTCGCGCAAGGTACCTCAGCTGAGCTCCTGCACCTCCCGTCAGAGGCGCAAACAATCTCGAATCTCGGACCTCGAACAACCTCCTTCCACTAACATCGCGCCTTCCTCTTCCCCAAGGCTCAGATCGAACAACACGAGCGCGCGCCACATACGTTGTTGTCGCGCATTCATCTGCCTCGAACTATACAAGCGCCCAAACTCTTCTGTTCTCGACATCTGCGCTCACAATTACGACCTCGCCGTGACACGCCTCCATCTCCCTCGAGCTCTGTTCGACGTTGGCCATGTCTTCACCTTCCGCGACAGCGACTCCGATCAAGCGGAGCTCGTCTAGTGAAGATGAAAATCCAATCATTAAACGACAGAAGACGAATAGCGACGCGCCAAAAAGCCCCTCTGCCGCCGACGATGAAGAGCCAAGCCTGCCTGGCGCGACCAAAGTCACCATTCCTTCTCTGGATTATCAAGCAAAAAGTGGCCTCGAAAGAAGTATAGGGCTGGCACTGCAGCAGGTTGGGTTTGATTCCGCTACCCCGGAAGCGATGCAGGGCTTCTTGGGGGCTGTAGAGACCTGTGAGATTACCTGACGTCTTGTGAATACTGATGCTTTAGGCGCTGACTCGATGTCCAGACATGGCCTCTATGATCGCCGATGCCAAACGTATCGCTCTAGCAGCACGACGAGAACAGCCGACTCCAGCGGACTTCGAGTCCACGATGCGACGCTACACTCTGAAGACGAAGGCGCTGCGGCCTCACGTCCGTCATCCCGTACCAAAGGCGAAGCTAGACGTGGAATATTTTGATCCTTTGGTCGACGATCCAGACGCGTACACAACCTTACCTCTACTCGGCGAGGAGCTGAGCGGCAAGCCCGAGAAGGAAGCCAAGCCGTACATCCCAAAGTCCTTTCCCGACTTTCCCAGCAAACATACCTACAAGTACACACCAAAGGAAGATGACAATGGGCGTGACCCCCAGAAGACGAGGGAAGAGGCGGCCAAGGCTTCAAAGCAAGGAGAGGAGGCCCTACGAGGCCTGGTGCGAGCGGCAAAGGTTCGCAAGCAGAAGGAAATCAGATCGCTATCGGAGCGCGATCCTATGACCAAGGAGCGCTATTCGCTATGGGCGGCTGCTATGGAAGGTTTCGTCAAAAAGGAAGGTGGCGCCACCGGCCAGCAACTTGAGATTGCCGATCATAGCATGATTGTCAACTCGGACGCCCGGCATTTGCGCAGGGAAGTGCAGCGACAAAGCAAACGAGCCACCGGGCAAAGCTAGTCATCCTCTCTCGGTAGAGGCCGAAAGCGCGAGTCCAGTGCTTCAAAGGACGACTCCATAATCAAAAAGGATGAGCAATGATCAGAATTGATCGGCTTGGGTTGCATAGGCGAGTGTGTCGGATGCTAGTCAAGGCAGACACAGAAGTTGGTCGATTTGGGAAATGGGCATGCATTCAGCAAGGCGTTTGGGTACTTTATCGTGTGGACGGGCTACAACAAATCATCTCATTTCTAGGCCTGACAATGAGGCTACTGAGGCAGGAGGAGGACCACACGAGTATCAGGGTTGAGCACTTGACAGCGGCCAAATGGACAAAAGCAAAGGCGTGAGACACTTTGCGTTGGCAGCAAGCGATTTATCAAGATTACCCCTTAGTTTCATCAACAATCACAGAGCGCTCAGCAGTAGTTTCCCGCATGTGAGCTGATGATGTGAGAACGACAGTTGCCGTGGATAGAAAAGGGGAGCGCGGGCATCTGAAATCAGATCGTGAGAGTGAGCGTTGTGTTCGTGGAGATCATACTTGAGTGAGAGACTCGTTCATCTTGCAGGAAGTTTGCCAGTTATGGGCTTGTCATGTTGCGACCTAAGATAACCAAGTGCCATTCTGCGAACCCTTGCAGCGAGTGACATGCAGAATCGAACTTCCCGTGATGGGCCTTCCATAAGTTCATTCCTTACTGTAGGTACCAATGTACCGTCCCATTCTGTTTGATTATGGGGCCAATCAGCCTCGTGCCAGCAATTCAGAAGAAGCGTAGCCACCAGCGATCCCCATTGGCTCCAGCCCCACCTCGGTGACCCACACAGAACGCATCAGGAGCAAGGCTGGCGCTCTTTCCACCTGCCAGGCCCTAAGCGAAGTTTGCTAATTTTTTTCACCCACACCCAAAATCCGGAATCTCAGCTCAAGCTCCCCAAGGGTCAAAGGTGTGACGCTCAGAATCAACTCCAATCTTTCTACCTTTCCCTCACCACTCAATCGACCTGATTGCCTCATTTCCCAATGGCTGAGCAGTTGATTCTCAAGGGTACCCTCGAGGGCCACGTAAGTTGCTGCCGTCTCACTTGCCCGCACGCCGCTGCGTTGCGCCGGTCATTTTTGCGTTGTGCTTGAGGCTGACGGCGATGCTTTTTGCAGAATGGCTGGGTCACCAGCCTGGCTACCTCCATGGAGAAGTACGACCATTCCTACATCCGTTTTCACTCCCGATCGCCCCTGCCTGGCTACCGCTGCCGCCGACGTTGATTTTCGAGAGAAGGAAGGGATTCTTCGAAATGGGCAACGACATGCGAGCCTTTGCACAGTGGCGCCGGCGGGGGAGGAGGCCAAGAATTTCGAAGGACAACAATCGCTAACATTTTGACAGCCCCAACATGCTCCTGTCTGCTTCCCGTGACAAGACTCTGATCATCTGGAACCTCACCCGTGACGAGTCCCAGTACGGTTACCCCAAGCGCTCCCTCAAGGGCCACTCCCACATCGTCTCCGACTGCGTACGTCTCTCGAACCCCTCCGATTTCTACGAAAAGTTGCCTCCGCCCTCTTGGCTGGGCTAGGATCACTGGGAACTCTGGGCTGATGGGAAGGAAATAGGTTATCTCCTCGGACGGCGCCTACGCCCTGTCTGCCTCTTGGGACAAGACTCTCCGCCTTTGGGAGCTTGCCACCGGCACCACCACCCGCCGTTTCGTCGGCCACACCAACGATGTTCTGTCCGTCTCTTTCTCCGCCGACAACAGACAAATCGTTTCCGGCTCCCGCGACCGCACCATCAAGCTCTGGAACACCCTCGGTGACTGCAAGTACACCATCTCCGAGAAGGGTCACTCCGAGTGGGTTTCCTGCGTCCGCTTCAGCCCCAACCCCCAGAACCCCGTCATTGTCTCCTCCGGCTGGGACAAGCTCGTCAAGGTTAGTTTCAGGCGCCCCCCGTATATGTTTTCTCCTGGAAAAATCGCCCCAACAACTCGATTCGACATGATGCTTGCAACCAAAGTATTTGCTACTTCAGAGCCTGCCGTGCAGGCCATGAGACCACTATTCACCATTGCCCTGATCTCGCACCTTCGATTTTTATTTTTGCCTTGTGAAAAATTCTGTACAGATCAGGATCGCTAACAAGGGCAAATTTCTAGGTCTGGGAGCTCAGCACCTGCAAGCTGCAGACTGACCACATTGGCCACACCGGCTACATCAACACCGTCACCATCTCCCCCGATGGATCCCTCTGCGCCTCCGGTGGCAAGGATGGTACCACCATGCTGTGGGACCTTAACGAGTCCAAGCACCTCTACTCCCTCAACGCCAACGACGAGATCCACGCCCTTGTCTTCTCCCCCAACCGCTACTGGCTCTGCGCTGCTACCGCCAGCAGCATCATCATCTTCGACCTTGAGAAGAAGAGCAAGGTTGATGAGCTCAAGCCTGAGTTCACCGCTGTCGGCAAGAAGAGCCGTGAGCCTGAGTGCGTGAGCTTGGCCTGGTCCGCCGATGGCCAGACCCTGTTCGCCGGTTACACCGACAACATCATCCGTGCCTGGGGTGTCATGTCGAGAGCATAAACGGGCGTGAAGCTCTCTTCTGTTCTCTCTCTCTGGGTTATGCGATGATGGTGACGAAGTGTGGTGGGGAAAGGGCTCTCTTGGTAGATCATGGCGGGCGTCCTAGGCTGGCTTCCTCGTTATGTCTTTCGGGATGCGCAGGGTCAAAACGATTTGTGAAAAATTGGGGATGAGACTGCATGGCTGGCTTATAGGTAGCCCACGAAAGGACTCGGACATGAACCCGTAACGCCCAAATCAAAAGATCCTGGCAAACTCAAAAAAATCCTGTTTCTCGTTCATTCAACTCGTGATGTTGACTTGGTCAGCACACACTTGCATCAATCCTGCCTCAAGTGATGAATGTGAAAACTCTCCTCCAACATAATGACTGTAGGCATGACATTATGGCAGCTACTATCCCCCATGTTATGCGATGCTTTAGGACAGCACCATTATAATAAGCAGGTTTGCCTTCGTGCTGTGAGATGTGACGACCGAGTCTCGTTCTCATCAAGTGTCTAGTCACAACGTTGGCCAGGCCCCTTGCTCTCACTACATCACATAGAACAAGACCTCAGTCAGATATATGAAGACTTGACATTGTATATATGTACGGAGAGAATGTAACTAGGTCATGTGTGGAAGAGAAAATTCAGCAGCGGGAGCCCCTTTTCCGCACAATGAAGGGTTCTCGCTGCAGCCAACGTGGTCAGAGTAGCCGAGGCCTCCCTTTCCTATCTAGAAGGCAGGCTTGGCGTTCTTGAGCAGCATCTCAAAGTAGGCCTGGTTCCACGTACCAGCCTCGGGAGATGGCTTGTAGGCATCCGACTTGCCACAGAACGAGTCGTAGCGCGTGGCGCTCGAGTCGCTGGTGCCGTCGGACTCGCCGCCGGGCTTGACCCAGACGAAGGCGTCGGCGAGCTCGAGGCCGGTGCTGCCGCTCGGGCGGAGGCCGAAACCGGCGCCGTTGACGTTGCACCAGTCGCCCCACTCGAGACGGAGGCCCTGGACGCCGTTGCGGCCCGTGTCGACGATGGCGTGGTTGGGCATGCCGGCCGTCTGGAGGGCGGCGCCGAGGAGGGTGACGTACTTCTTCTCGTTCTGGGCCTTGTTGTACTGGCCGTCTGGGGCGTTGGCGAATTCACCGGGCTCGGCGTCCCTGGAAGTACACGATGTCAGTATAATGGCATTCTTTGCGTCGTTCCTACTTTTCAAAGTTTTAAGCATATGGGCTGAACTTACCAGGAGTTCCACCCGGCAACGTTGGTGGCGATGCCTCGAAGCTGCGAGGGGCTGCCGCCGGCTTTGTACGCCTTGGCGAGCTCTTCGGCACCAGGCTTGAGGTTGTCGTTCCACTATAAACCAGTCAGAATCATGGCCATGATATAGAAAGCAAGACTGAGCAAGAACACATTGCATGGACGGAGGTGATGATGCACTTACCCCAAGCCAACCTCCGTGGCCAGCATCGAGATACATGACGACGTTGGGAAGGTTGAGAGCCTGGATGGCGTACGCAACGCCGTCACGGTAGCCCGAGGCCGAGGCCTGGCAGGTGGCGAGGTTGGCGTTGGTGACCAAGTTGGGCAAGGAGTCTGGCTCGATGACGAGGGCAAAGGCGGTCTTGGGGTTCGCCTTCAGGATCTTGACAATGGGGTCAATGTACTCCGTCTTGTAGCGGCTCAGCTCGCCGACTTTGAGTTCGCCGTTGGAGGCCTTGGCAGCGCAGTCGCGGCCAGGGAGGTCGTAGATGACCAGGCCGAGGATGTTGTTGCAGGGAACGTCGGCGATGGCGGGCGTGAGCCGCTGAATGTTGGCGATGGTGTCACTGTGTTCCTGCAGCATCAGTATCTTGCTGCTCAAAAAAGTATTTGAAGATATTTGACATACAGCCAGAGGAAGGAGCCGATATCAGCTACCTTCAGGGCCTTGGCCTTGAGCGTACTGTCCGAGATAGCTGCAGCGGCGGCCTGGATCTCGGCGCGGTAGAAGCTGTTGGGATGTAAGGTGTACTTGGAGAAGACGTTGGTCTTCGCATCCAGGGAGACGTTGGCAGAGCATGCGGCGGCTGCTGCGCGAGGTTCCTCCTTGATCGTCTGAGAAGGGGCAGCGATGGCTGTCGAGGCCAAAGCCGCCAACGTAGCGGCGGTGAACTTCATCTTGATAATAATATTACTCTCTTAAGATGATGAGCTCTGTAGTAATGATGCCGAGATCCTGGTGATGAGGGCCATGAATTCGCCGGGAGCCATGACACTATTTATCTGCAGTCATGATACCTCGAAAGATGGTACAAAATCTTGCAATTTGTTAATCCCCGAACCTTCGAGTAACGTCAATCAGGCACCAGGCCCGGTAGCCGTATTGATTTCGGTCTCCAGCCTCCGAACCAAGAATGCCTATCCAATGGGGCGTTCCCGACGGGCAAAATGATGAACTCTGTCATGACCACAATCAGACAAGATCTATACTACGCGGTGCTCGCCAGAGCACCTCACGGTCAAGGATTCTCAATACAAAGTCCGCCGCCAGATTGACGACTTCATCTAATGATCAGGCAATGATTGGTCTGTGAGTTTAGTATTGAAGTGGCCGTTGATTAGAGCAACCAGAACATTGTGGTATTTGCAATATTAGAGAATGTTACCTCGTCAAGCCAACCTCCGCTTCGACCATTCGAGGGCAGATCTCCTATTATTCACAATCACCCCAACCATGGGCGAGTGATGGTGCCATACAACTCAGCAGATTTTCTCAAGGACGGTCCGTGTCAACCGGATATCGCCAGATCTCCAACAATCTCGGCATAAATATCATAATGGCGAGCGGTAGGTACAGAACTTCTGATGCTCTGCGATCCCTTGCATTTCACCTACATTTCCCGGTTGTTATTACTCAATCCCCTCCCCTTGCTCTTGCGCACGCGTTGTATAGCAAACACACATAAAAGTGAATTGGAAATCAAGTAGAGCAAGCGTGCACATTTTCCAAAATACGCTATTCCCCTGGGAATTACAATACCCGACGGCGAGTCTCATTGTCCAAGGCACTCCCGAGCCTCATGGGCAAGAACAGCATTCCTACTCAAGCATATGAGGTTGCTAATGACCAATCCCAACTGAAGTGATTCGTTCCTGTAGAGCTCCGGAAGACAAAATAAAGTGTTACGAGCCAGGGTGGTACTCGTCACTTTAGCCGGCAATAACCCCAGATCAGCGGGGGGACGATCCTGGTGCTGAGTGCTTGATTTCTCCTTGGCCGGCTAAAAAACCCGATCCTGACTTCATGGCTTGGCTACTTCAACTGTAAACTGGTCAGATGCCGACGGATGGAACCCCCTCTATTCGCCTACAAAGCCAGAATGGTGCGACAATTCGTTGATATTAAATGTTGCCATGCGGCCCCGGGCTCAACCTCATTAGGCAGGAGACAACTGTCGGCGTGACAAGCAACAAAGGGTACGGTGCTCATCAATCTGTCCGAACAGTCACCTGGATAAGGGAAGGCCATGCCTCGTAGCTACATGAACCTCGTTTAACCTCGTTTGGGGTTGCCTGATAGGTCGGAGTCTTTGATATTCACGCAACATGCTATCTTGTTGAAAGTAGAGACAAGGACCTAGTTTATCTCGAGGCAGCATCCGACAGAGGAATAAACAAGGCATTGGGTCTGTGAACATGGTTTCAAGAGGCGACTTGGAAGAAGCTAAGAAAACATGTACAGATCATCCAGGTCTAACACAAAGACAGAGTTGACTTATGGTCTGATCTGAATGACAGAATACTGCAGGGCACAAGTACATTGCGATCTAAGGGGGACTTGCGGACAGGGCATAAGCTATTCCCTGTGTTTTGCTCAACGGAAATACAGCCAACGAACACCAAAAGGGGTGGAGAAATGTGTTACAATGCTTTTGTAGTCAATTCGTGGAACGTCATTTTGCCACGTCCGGCCACCCTCTCTATGAGCTTCTGATGACCTCTTTCCGCTATGTTACATTTGTGTCAATGGTGACACTGGGCCTCTTGGCCACTGGCAAGGTATGGCTATCCTCGCGAACAGCGATGGCGAACAACTCGAAGCCAGGCGAGAAATTGCTAGCGCAGGTGTTTGCTTCCGATAGTACCGGCTTGTCAAAATGCATCCTTACATGAAAGGAGGCAGAGAGAAGGGGTAGCCGCCGTTCTTGATACGGAAAACGCTGAGAAGGAAGCTGTACATGATGAACAGAACACCACCCCAGGCCAACACAGCAACCTGCTGTCTCTTATTGTCGCCGATGCGAGGCACCTTGACGGTGAGAGAGATGGCACAGAAAGCCAAGACACCGTCTACTTTCGATTAGCTTTGAGACTTGACGTTTAGGAGGGTGTAAACAAACAGATAGCAGCAACGATCTGGGTCTCCAAACCGAACTGGTTCTGGAAACCACCGGCGAAGTAGCTGATACCGCCTCGGCCATCTCCAGCAACGTAGGGAACTTTGCGGATATGGTTGAACATGTGGCCACTGGTGAAGAGCAGAATGGCAATGAGACTGATGGCGGCCCACAAGTTGCGGTTCTGAATGACGGGAAGGATGTAGGGCGAGGCAGTGACGAGGACAGTGCCGAGACCAAGGACGATGGTGATGCTAGAAATCCATCGCATCCAATTGATCGGGCGCTTCACCGGAGGGTGGGGTCGGTCAGCAAGGTGTCTCGACAGCCAGGCATGGACCTGCTCAGCAGACTGAGGTCTGTTTAAATCGTTAGCTTATTCTATGAGGTACTCCGTTCTTGAGAGAGATAGCTCACCCGCTGGTAAAGTCATATTGTAGAGGATCGACGGCAGCAACAGCGTGAGGGCCGATGGTGGGTTGGAACAAGAGCAGGACGGGGGCGGTTTGGAGGCCGAGCTGGTAGTGATCGTATTAGTTCTTGGCCGAGTCCATTGTCACCTGGTTTTGGGGCTGGGTTTCCTACCGACATGAAGACCTCACGGCCATCAGAGAAATCGAGAGTACCGAAGAGAAGGCGCGACTCGCCCTTCTTGTCGCCCTTGGTCCAGGTCTTACCCAGAAGATCCCATTCCGGCTGGAACTCTCGGCACAACTGGCAGCCGAATCGGTTCTCGAGAGCAGTCAGGAGTACTGCAACGGTGTAATCGCGGGGAGCAGAAGTCAAAGACTTGTAGCTAGTGTCGGCGAGCTTGATTGGGGATGAAGTCAGGGCCTTTGCGTGGAAATCGTTGAATCGTTCTTCGGGGGTCTTCTTGGCTGCAAAGGCTCCGGCAGCGAGAAAGGTTCCCGCTAGGAGGGAGCGAAGGAAGTGCATTTTGAGGGATGCGTCTGTGATTTGGACGCAACAAGAACTTGGGAACGATCGAAGGGTTGAGTGTGGCCAATTGGCCGTTTCTGGTGATATTGAAGTCGGGCGTGCGTAACGAACTGGTGCGCGCCACGAGTGTCGTCGAGATGCCGCACACTGGACTTCAACAGCTCGAACTGGACAGCTCTCAACAGCGGCAGACAATCCACAGAGAAGTGGGCCGAGTCGCAAGCTTGTGTACGTACTGTTTCAATTCTGGCTTAAGTAAGGAAGGTACCGTAAGACACTTAGACGGGGGTATGGAAAGAAGGCACGGCCGGGGCTGCTGGGGGTAGCTCCTTCGGGCTCGGATATTGGTTTTTCCTGGGCGAGAGCGGATGCTCCTGGACTTTCCCAGTGTTATGTCACCCTGAACCGTTTACCAAGACATCAGCGTAGTTCAGAAAAATATGGGGCCAGTCTGCCTGGAGCGGGGGGCACGGCGTCGATGAACTAACCGGTTTGGGAACCATGTTTACCTTGCCAATTGGTACTCCATTTCAAAGTCAACCCAAACACACCACCATCTGAACATCGACATCGCGAACCTCAATCAATTTACGCGCGGGCATCCATACTGTCGCGCATTGTGGTGAAAGAAGACTTCTGAACCACAATACCGTGGCTTCAAGCAACACAACACCTCTTTAGGGGCCTACTAATCCAACGCGTCGACGCGCTTCCAGCGCAGAAGCACCGGCACAACACCGCCATTATGCCTTGCAAGACCAGGAACATGGACTCGGAAGAGGTAAGTCCCGTAGTCGGTCAGTATGTAATGGCATGTTTCTCACCACTCACATAGAGGGCCGCTGCGGCTCACGAGCTCGAGATGAAACACCAGCAACACATTCACAAAGCACAGCTTATTGTCAAGGAGGAAGACACGCGAAGACAAAAGGTCACCAAACAAGTCCTTCTCGATGAGAATGCGACATTACGCGAGCAGCTTGCCGAAAGGGAAGCGCAAGTCAACCAGTTGTCCGAAAAGTTCGACCAAACGCGCAGTGATCTGGAATCACTAAAGGCGACAAATCGCGACCAAGACACACAGCTTAAGGCTCAGAAGAGGGAATTTGGTCACATCAAGGTTGGTGTGAACGCCGATTCGGCAATGCCCGACGAACTATCCTAACTTCGAATGTGTCAGGCCGAACTCGAATCCCTCAATAGCCTGTCTCAAGATTCTACGAAAGTGCTTGCAGAAAAGCTTACTCTCTCGCGGGAGGTGAACGCCATGAAGCCTGAACTGGAGCATCTACGATCGCAAGTCGCCCACCAACAAAGCGTCATCGCCGAGAAACTGGAATTAGAGCGTCAGCTGAATATGGCTGAAGTAGAGTTGGCTGCCGAGAAACGAGCACGGGAACAGCAGACAGCACAAGCGGAGGGTGATAAATCGACCGAAGACGAATTGCGGCGCAAACTCAAGGACGCCGAAAAGAAGCTGACGACGGAAAAGCGTGAAAAGGAACAATTGCAAGAAGAGCTTGAGGCTGCTGTCTCAGCCGCAAAGGCTGGACAAGAGAACAAGAAGGCGGAACAGGAGTCGACTCAAAAGATCCACGAGATGGAGAAGATGCTTTCAGCCGAGAGACGGGAGCGGGAAAAGCTACGGAAGGAGCATGAAATGGCTCTGTCTGAGGTCCAGACGCAAAACGAGATGCTCGAAGAGCGCCTAGACACGGTTAAGTCCAAGTTGCGCAACGCTCAGGAAGAGTTGAAGGCTGTCCGTGCAGAGTTGGTTGCTCGACCAGCAGCGGTACCGAGTGCTCAACTTCCTGCGCGTGCGGGAGGCGTGAAGGCGCAGGCCGGCAAGAAGCGAAGAGTTGAAGAGGTCACAATGAGCGACATGAGCCTTGGCACGCCAGAAGACATCACTCGCGGCAGGCGCCCTGCTAAGAAGAAGGGCCTTGAGCAGACGATGCTAGGCGAGAAGTCGCTGTTCTCCATTACTCCTTTCCTGGCCAAGTCCAAGACACTCAATGTCGAGGATGCCGTCGCCGAAGAGGACGAGGAAGCTGACGTCAGCTATATCCCTCTGTCTCACCAGTCTCATTCGCAAGAGGTCGAGATCGATGCTGGGGCCAAGGTCGAGACCGCGGATGCGCCGGAACAATTGGAGGAGGTTGAAGAGCATCAAGAGTCCGCGGAAAAGCCTGCTCTCACCAAGACGACGAAAGCAAAGCCGAAATCCAAGAACGATGGTGAAGCGAAGAAGCCCCGCGGCCGACCAAAGAAGGCGTTGACGGAAACATCGCCAAATATGCCTGTGCAGGGGGTCTCGGCCGCGGTCAACAAACCTCACATTCCGTCAAATGCTCCTCTTGAGCAGGTGCTGGAGGAGCCTGACAATGATGAGTCAGAGGATCTGGCTCCCGCAAAGGTTGCCGCTGCTAGCAAGGGCGAGCAGGAAGTCAAGAAGAAGAAGCGCAAGCTGGGCGGTGAAACGGCAACACTCTTCGATGATGACGATGGCGAGGCGCCTCCCGCTGCTACCAAGCGGCCTGGCAAGGTCGGCATGGGTGCCGGCAGAGCTCTCGGCAAGACTCATCTTAGCATGGTTAGGAATGCTGGTGCTTTTGGCAAGAAGTCATTCTCACCGCTCAAGAAGGACAGAAGGGGAGTCGGTGCTAGCTTCCTGGCGTGATTGGCTTTGAATCATTGTATTTTCAAGCGGAGAATGCTTTACCTTGGGATTTCAGCTCAATGGAAGGAGTCAAAAGAGGCAATGCATTGGTGGCGTTTTGGGTCGGTTGTTTCTACGTTCAGGGTTGGCTAGGTAGTCGGTGAGGTTTATGTTAAGATACGGTGGGGTTTTCCGAGCACCCAATGAAGAGGCCCGACGCGGTTGCTATTCTACCAAAACTTTCGCCCTTTTCAATAATTCTTGGTGCAAATATCCGTGTAATTCATCGTTTTGACGGCTTTGAGTTGTGCCTAAGGAGATGTTGGACGGTTAGAGGAGTTAAGCCATTACCTCGTCGAAACCTGAGGTCACCTTAAGAGCGAGTGCCCTACCCCTGGTCGCATCCGAGAAGCTTGGGCCAATCAGGATTCTCAGCTCACCTTCATTTGCAGAAGCTTCCCTTCGACGTCTCTCATCATTCATTTCATGAACATCGAGCGACATAACGACTTTGAACGCTCAAGCGTGATCAACTCTGCCCACTCTGACTTGTACTCTTGTCGTGTCATATGAGAAATGTTAAGAGGGCGCTCAACCTTATTATAACACCACCATCACAATCCATCCACACAATGTCAGAAGCAGCATACCGCCCTCTGTGGAGCGCTGCACTGCGTCAAGCCTCTTTTGGCAAATTTACAACATGTAGGCAATGTCGAATAAGCCTGCCTGGGAATTTGCAGATGCGCGCATCTTCTTCCAATTCGCGGTGGAAGATGAGGCAGGGTAAAGACTTCTTTGCCCGCGAGGCCAAGGTGCAGGGGCTCAAGAGTCGGGCTGCGTTCAAGCTCCTAGAGGTACGAAACCATCAAAACTTATGTAGAATCCATTCCAGAGCATATCATGGTAACAACAATCGTAGATGGATGCCAAATACAAAATATTCCGCAAGGGACAGACGGTAGTAGATCTGGTGAGTCTTTAAGAATGACTTGACGTCCTTGTCAAGAGCCGTTGAGGCAACGAGACTGAGAAAGCGATGAAGGGGTATGCTCCGGGGAGTTGGTCACAGGTACGTCAGCTTCTAAGAAAGACTTCCTGAGAAGCAGAAATTCGCCTTGGGGAACGGAACGTATAACATCGCCAAAACAGGTTGCCGTCGAGCTCACGAAGCCCAACGGCCAGGTCCTGGGAATCGACATCATACCTGCACAACCACCTAGGGGCGTCTCAACGATCCAAGGCAACTTCCTTTCACCCGATGTCCAGGGCATGGTTAAGGACTATCTCGAGCGAGCCAGACACCGGAAGAAGATCTCGCCGCCAGCAGATGAAGACGAAGAACTAGAGAACGATGAAGATGACCCGTCCGTGGACAGCGAAGCCACAGTCATTGAGGAGAAACCGAGCTACATCGACATGGAGAGAGCAGCGTCTGAAACTCCAAGTACTGTCAAGGACGGATCGGAGGCCAAGAAGGGTCGATTGGTGGATGTGAGTCTTTCCCATCATTCTCCCCTCGTCACCCACCTCGAGATCTTATAGGACGTTACAGACTGACGTAAGAACCAGATTGTGTTGAGTGACATGTCAGCACCTTGGGACCAGACCAGTGGATTCGGCGTGAACAGTCTTAGTAATCCCTATCATAGGATGATGAACACGAGCGGCATGGCCTTCCGAGACCACGCCGGAAGTATGGTACGTATTCCTCTTTTCCCTGATGCTATCTATCAAGTTACTGAGGTGAGAAACCAAGGACCTGTGCGGGGCAGCACTGCATTTCGCCGATGATACGCTCAAGAACGGCGGGCATTTCGTCTGCAAGTTCTATCAAGGTTCCGAGGACAGAGAGTTTGAAAAGAAGTTGAAGACCTTGTTTGCCAAGGTCTTTCGGGAGAAGCCAGAGTCATCTCGCAGTGTATGATGAGAGAGCCACATCGTGTGCGGAATGACGCTGACCCATTCACAGGACTCGAAAGAGGCGTACTTTGTCGCACTCAGAAGGAAAGGAAACGTAAGCTTAGAGAATGACGGCCTATAATTGACTGTTGGATGTGTAAGAGTATGAAAGTCAAGTCGAGGGTACTGCCGTGTTACGATATAGAGGGCAAGCGGAAGACGAGCGATTGCAGAGCTATCACGGGATGCGAATGGGACAACCGGGAAGGGCTCGGCCATCGCTAGCTACCCCAGAAAGAAGGCCCAGTAAGGCATTGTGTATTCTTCAGGAAGGAATGAGAATCAGCAATCGGTACGACGTAGTACTTTGCCCGAGTAATACTTTGCCCGAGTAATACTTTTTTGATATCGTAAACCCAAGTGTCGATCCCAATGGGGTCCTTGAACACCAACTTGCCCGTTACAAAACGTCGCATGCCTTGGAACACTACTGAAGACAGATGAGATGGGTGACAACAGCAATGCTTTGGAGTCCGGTCTGGCTCCTTTCAAAACCAAGACCATATGTTGTTGCTTGGTACTTGAGCATGTAGATGAGTATGGGGATACACTGTGACCGAGTGGTCCGTCAGCTAAGCAATATTGGGTACCATGCAGGCTAAATGAATGAATGACTACCACCTCGCGATTAAACTCGGGATTGACAGCCATTCCCAGTCACCAGCTCAAATTCGAATATCGCTCATATCGACTTCCCTTGCCCTACTTGCCTTAGCAGTGGATCTTTGCGGGGTGGACCACTTCCGTGTAATAATCTTCGTCCCCGAATCGGCGAACCCCCAAGGTTCGCCATCGCTGGGGCCTTTTCTGCCGCGCGTGTCTGTCGCGAGTCTAAGCGGGTGGCTAATAATTCTGGATAATTCGGCAGGTGTGTTAGTGTTGCGATAGCCCTTGCTCTGTAGTATAAAACTAAGCTGCTGTTTCCTTCACTCTGCCTCGGTCGTCTCTCTCCAAACTGTATCTTACTGTATCTTCTGGCGATCGTCTTACACCATTCGTAACTCTTCAAAGCCAACCTCATTTCACACACACCATCCTAGAGCATCTCCCCCCCCGTCTTTAACATGCCTTCCGCCGATGCTCAGAAGGGCCACCTCCAGACCGTACTGGAGAACAAGGGCATCCGGTTCCAGTTCAAGACTGGCAGTGCCAAGTATGAGTGCCATCTCCAGGACCGCTCTACGTAGTGAGTGAAGCAACCGTGCTCAATCTCTGGAATGTCTGACAGTTCGCCCTAACACGGTCCTCAAGCGAGCGCACGAAGGCGACGAGGACAAACTCTACCGACTCACAGACCAGCTCATCGTCTGCTTCGACCGTCAGCAGCACCCACTAGCGACCAAGTTCTCTCAACTGAGAAAGTCGGGCAGTGAAAGAAAGATCCCGAAGATGGCCGGGGCCAAATACGGCCACGGGATGGGGTGGTGAAATCCCGCCACTTATTCAAACGACGCAATCACGGCGTTACATAGGCACGACGCATGGAAGAACAGGAAAACCCTAGAGGACCAACATGCGGCCTCTGATCGGAGCCGACGGCAAAGACATTGAACTCCACAACACCATACTCGGAGGCATGCTATCCGTCAACTCCGGTGTGCCAGTTTTGAGAAATTACTCGAAGCACGTATATGGCAAAACGCCGGTATGCATTGGAGCGAAAGGGCGAAGGGCGAAAGCAAGGTTTGCACGGAGGTCTGGAAAATATTGGCGTACAGAGCAGCCCAGCTGACATTTTTGTCTTCTTTGCTTATTCTTTTCGGGAATTAGATGGATAATGAACTTCTTTTTCACTATATCTCACTCTCAGTCGCATACTGTGTACATCATTCGCTGACCAGATCCATCGAACCCATCAAAAGGACCCTTTCCCGCGGGTAGCCTAACATCCGGCACTTCCGGAGACTAAAGTCAGCGAGAGCGAATCCCGATCCGACCACGGAAATTCTACATACGATACATGACAACATGGAATTATTGAGAAGGGCAAATGACTTGACCCAGATTGACTCCGTAGATCTCGTCTGGTGGACCCTGATCCAGACGGAGGGTTGACGGCTTTCTTCCGAGCACAGCTCTACCAGACTGCTAGGAGTCAACGGCTGTCAGCTGCTCCTAAGCAACAGTCATCTCACGACACAATTTGGCCATTATACAAGTTTCTCTTGATCTAGCTAGTCTTGGCCCGCTAGAGCCGTGGGTGGCCATGTTGTACATGTATCCTGTAGGGCTACATTAGCCCATCGTCTGAGCGGCGAGCTTGGAGAGCCTCCGATGCTCCCAACTTAGCGTACATCACCGAAGAGCACCGAGTCGGTCCCGAGGACTGGTGGACACCTTAGAACAACAAATGAAGGAAATGGCGGCCAACTGATTCCTATGTCTGTCGGTGTCGGTCTTGCTTGACCGCCGACTTCGTGGTTTGCCTGTCCTTATGCCCGAGTATGAACGGCGTTCAAGCGATCCGTTGCTTCCATCGCCGTTCGCCGTCCGGTTGCTAGATATCTCCGTGGTCCGGTGGGCGAGGTCTTCCCGTATATGACGCTCCTGTAGCTCCTTCTACTCTCAGTAGTGCTCGTCTGGTACCCAGCAGTTAGCAGGTCGGATGCCAGAGAATGTCAGACGTTAGTTGCCAAGCACACTGTGCTCCAGAGACCGATTTCTTGACTTAATAGATTCCTTTCCAGAGCACTGTAGCCACATGAGACGATTTCAGGCCGTCGTCGGTCTTGAAGGGGGTTCAATGGGTGACATATCATTACTGTGGCGAACCCCCCTCCATAGCTGGCGAGTATCTCTTGTTGGGATGATGGGAGCTCTTTAACTTTTATACGAGATTGACCTTTTTGATTGTTCGAAAGTCTGTATTTCCGCCGTCAGATTCGCGGGCAAGTCTTTCAGGTCTTTGTTCCTTTGAGATGATGTTGAGGGCAGGCTTTGACTAAGTGGCCCATAGAGCAACTGTCGACTCAAGTGAAGGACATTCGATCTCAGTTGGAACATAGACTGGCTTCCGGTCTGAGAGATACTCCCTTCTCACGGCTATCTGTGTTACAATCGAGGAGAATATCCATTTTAATTTCGCCGGATCTCACGATATCGTCTCTTTTCCAGGCTCAGGACATCACATACGACCATACCCATTGGAAAACTCGGGATCCCGTCCGCTCTCCCATAGATAAGCCAATGAGGGCCGGATTAGTAGTTGGGTCGGTGACGACCAGCGAATACCTGGTGTTGTATGTTTTTGAAGTTTTGGTGGGTTCACGATAGTCATATGTGGTGGACCCACCCACGTTGGGTTTTGCCACTCGTTGATACCTCACCTCAAACATCACGAATAACCTCAAGCAAACTAGCCTTTTTAGATTTCTGCGGCGTATTTATACTATCGCACGCTCAAATAGTTCCGAGCCCGATGTTCACTAGGTGGTTCATGCTGTCTAGAGCAGCGAAGGGCAGCTCATAATTTACTGGATGGAAGTATGAACAGGTAAGGTAGAAATACAGCCAAGTTGGTAGCAGAGAAATATAAAATCTGGTCTGCCGGAATCGTCAGAGGCCAGTCGGCCTACGATACCTTGTCAGACTACTTGGATCGGTCAGATCACTTCGGCATTGTGAATGGCGGTGGACTCGAATCTCCACTACATGCTTTTCGTTCTCGTCCCATCAGTGAATAGGACGATGTGTCTTAACTTTGGCTTTCAAAGATTGCGTAAGAAATAGTCTCTATAGATATACACATAGTAATTCAAGTCTTATTAACGATCAGATACAACCAAATAGAGCGAGTTTCCTAGATCGTCCTGGAGGTCACGATAAATACGGGGAATGGTGCCGACTTTTTTCTTGTCTTTTGAGTTTCTTTACAGCCATCCGTCGACTATCATGTTGACAGCGAACTCGTACCAGTCTGTACATATATATCAGGTATGTATGAAGATGCAGACACCCTGGTGTATCTCGGCGGTGAGGAACACTCGTATTTGTATAAGTGCTATTGGACGATATGCAACCATCGAACTCCCTAAACAACATTCTGTATACTTCCGGTCAATACATTCATGAAGGCGACTACTTGGGTTCATAAGGTTACTTCATGTCCGTTGCCAAGTTGATCGTCTTTTCACAACCTCTCCCAAAAACCGGTGATTGCCCCTCATGTTGAAAACCAACATCCTGAAAGCTTACATGTGGAATGCTGGTTGTTTCGCATCTTACCTTTGCATTATCTGGCAACTTAAGCGCAGTGATCTTGCAGCCAGACACATCTACTTGCTGGCTTGGTCAGTCTAATGTTACTACTTGGCGTCCTCGTCTAAGGAGATCGTTGGAGTTCGCCTGGTGCTACTGAGCTGTAATCTTCGACAGTATTTATCAGCAAGAAAATTGAGAATTCCAGTTTGTAGTTGTGAGATATGGCCTTAGCATGCACTTACACTGGTCTTATTGAGGGCGGTGGATTACGGCCAAGGAAACACGCCAGATTGTCGCTGATCAACTATCGGCAGGGCGACTAGGTCGGTGCCTGCGTTCAGGGTTGGATCAAGGAAGACTGACATGTCTTGGACCTTGCATCCTTGATGTGGCCGTGGTGTTGCAATCGGGTGGGCCGTTGGACCGCTCTGCCGACAAGGCTGTACGAAAACCGGAATCACAATCGGAGCGGGGCCGAACAGTTGCCGGAGCCGACATGCTGTACTTCTACAAAGTGGTCCTTCTATATCTGGATTCGGTGGCACCCCGCGGCCGGTGAGCGGCAGCACCATGCCTCAATTGCGAAAGCAAGCACACTAACAATTGCATAGTAAGATATCTCACTCTAAAGGCATACTGACGTCCATCAAAAGAATGACTGAAACCCTCATCTTCCAGCTTGATGCATTCATCTTGCATGAGTGGATGATGACCACTCTGTATAGCTGCGGAACACCAAAAACGGCTTGATCAAAGGGAGGGTGGCTCTTGAAAAACGTATTCATCGAAGATATCCTCTCAACGCCCTAGGTACCTACTCAACAAACTATTGCATGAAGTACAAGAGCGTGTTATCGTGACGAGCGTTGCTTGCACACCGACCTTGCGTTAGCGAGTCACGCGGGTGATTTGGCTCTCAACCCCCGCCAGATTTATGTGGGACATGCGCGTCTCGATCTCGACTAATGCAAGTGCCATTCTCTGACAAGATTGCTCATCACTCGGCGATCAACAGCGGGATGTTCGCGCCGCGGATGGCAGTCTCGCGATACCGACGGAAGGATGCCGCAAACTGGAGTCTTCTCGTCCAGCTTGGCTGGGAGACAATAAACGAGGCCATGCTTCCTTCAGCCGGGCGCAGCTGGATGGTCTGGCAGGAGGTAGGTAATGGAGCATGCGGTGGGTGGCAATAAGTGCAACCTGTCAGGTCCCTCAGGGAGTCAAGCGACGTGAGTGGGTGCCTGGATTGCCATGCGACGGCGCCCCCCAAACATGAACCAACCTAAGACCCATCAAGCACGCGCAAGCGCCCCTCTGCCCTCCTCTAAGTCCAGGCTCTCTGGCAAAGCGGTGGGTGACTCGTTGAACGTTTGACCGCACGCCGCGGACTCGGACAATAGTGTCCATGCCTGTCTCGCGGCAAGGCGGCGGACCACGAGGCCTACCAAAGTGCAAAGTCCAACTGTCACCATCTTATCGGTGCTAAGCCATTCGGACGCCCCCTACGCAAGTCACGTCCAGGGATCCCCCGCCAAGTATGGTCAAGCAGCAGCGGGCTATTGGTTGGACGTTCCTGGCCTTCCCCCTTCCATTGCGGCAGCCCTGGACCCGACTTTGTGAGGGCAGAAGAAGTACTCGGTCTGGAAGAATAGCGGTAAGGTGCCACCGAGAGCGCTCGTCAAGGTACTTCCAAGGCCTCCTGTCCTGCCGACCTATCTCAAGGTACCTGACGGCAGCGGCATGCCTACCAAGGTCCATATGGAGTGAGAGGGAGCTCGAACTGCGGTAAGGGAATACGCAACCCCCCCCAAGAGAACCCGCACCGTTGAAGGAAAAAGCTAAGGAGAGAAAAGGTAAGAAAGGTACCGTTGTTGAGAGGTATCTAAGTCGCCAGCCTGCCGCAACGCAACGCAACGCAACGCACCCTCTCACTTACACCCTCTTTCTTCCCTTCCCTTCCTTTGACTTTGCTCCGAGTCCTCCCACTTCCCTCGCCTACCTACCTTACCTACCTTTTCACTCTTTCTTTTCGCATCTACAACCTCTGGTCAATACTTTATTTTCGAAAGTGCTTTTGGCCTGTTGATCAGAGGTTGCTCGAAATGCCTGTGCCAATCGCCGCCAAAGGTCAGTGACATTCATTTGTACAACCATCCCCTTGTCGCCGCCTCTCGCTTCCATGTACCGCCCCTCCGTCTCCAATGGATGGAAATCCCCCCGAATCCCCCATGCCCGCATCCCCAAACACCGCCCGACGATCTGCTGTTCTGCTATTCCTTCGGAGCCTACACTACGGATACACGTACCTACCTACACTACCCCGCGTCAGCGCTCTTGCGAATCACGTTGCTTGCCTGAGGTGGTCAGGCCTGTGGCAAATGGCCTCCAGGACCACGCAATCCCAACTTGTTCGGGCGCGTGGCCAATTTAGAGCTTGACAGTTTCGTACTTTGGGTTGCTATTTCATCTGTACTTTTATCTTCTTGCAAAGTTGCAACCAACCTGTTTCGCTCCCTACTGCCTCACTGTCTCTCGCCATTTCATTCCCTACAACTCTTGACTGCCTCGACGCTTGACGATGCCTGGTGTTAACAACGGTGCCCTGGCTTCAGCCGGCATTATTGCTGTGTCTGTTGCCGTTGCAGCTGCTATTGCCATCTACGAGTCGCCAGAACTTCAGCGATATGCCAACGATGTCCGGAGACGCATCGCCATGGCCTTACATTCTTTGGGCGAGGGTTTCGAGCCCAACGACCGCCCGCCCATGTTCAACCGACCCGAGGACGCCCAGGGTTTCCTAGAGTCCCGTGGAGGGACTGAAGCCGGAGTCGACGCCGATGACGAGACCCGCCGCCGCCAGCGCGAGGAGATTCTCTACTGGAATGCCGTGGCCTTGGCTAAGAAGGAGAAGGAGAGAATCGAAGCCCAAGAATCCGGATCGCGGGAGCTGCCACCGCCAGGCCCAGCGCGGGGCAGATCTTTCGACGACTTTTTGCACGAGGACAAGAGTGGCGAGAAGGGATCTTTCGTTTACAACACGGGCGCAACCACCTACAACGACGAGGGGCTTGTTCGACGCCGTCCCGAGGGTGTCCGCGGCCTCAACGCTTCACTTTACGCCAACCCTTTCGCTGACGAGCACCAGATCGATCAGGAAGATTTGCCAGTCATGGAAGAGCCAGTCATGGAAGAGCCAGTCATGGAAGAGCCCAGCTCCCTGTCCCCCGCCCACGACGAGGCCGTATCAGACATTTACAGCGCCACCACCCGCGACGCCGACGAACGCCCCCGAGACATTGCCGCCACCATTGCCCAAATGCCCCCTCTCGTCGATGTCTCTGAAGCTTCTTCCCAGTCTGAAAAGTCCACGACTCTCGACCGCGAGCTAGGTGCTGACGAGTACATGACTGCCGGCCAAGAGAACCGCGAAGAAGCCTATGCCTCCATCCAAGCCTGGGCACAAGGGTCCAGCCCCTCCAACTTTTACTCACCGCTTCCCATGTCGCCTCCCGTACCCATGTCCGAGCCCGAGCTCGTTAGCGAGGGCGAACTCACCCCCACGGACTCGGCATCTCTCGCTGGCTCCGGCGAGGACGTCGCCAACGACGCCGTTTCGTCTAGGGCTGGCGACAACAGCCGTTACTACGACGTGCTGAGCGAGAGCGAGGGTATGATGACTCCCGCGAGCTGGTCCGAAGTTGGAAGCGTCGTCAGTGAGAGCGAGACTCGCAGCGAAACTGCGCAGGCCCGTGTCCACGCATAAGCGCGGTTTCTCGTCAAATTTTCTTTGGTATATCACAATCGATTCAGTAAGCTCGCTCAAAGCACGGCGACGGGAGATAGCAGGGCAAGGCGCAAAAGGATCAACAGGACTGGGAAACAGGGCACTCATAGATTTTGGGCGGATAGGCACATGAATTGAACTCAAAACTTTAATTTCTAATGCATTTCCCCGTGATCCCGTGTCTTCCCTGACAGTCTGCGTTCTGAGAGACCATCCCAAAGCGCCGCGTCCATGGCGATCAAGTTGACAAACTCCAAAAATGACAGGCAGTGTATCTCCGCGTCTACGCTAGTGTGGTAGTGAATCAGCTACTCACTGTGGAACCTCGTCGGCAGCTCGGATCCTCCCCAATCTGACATCGTCGTCTGATATGTCGTCCTTGTTCACAATCACAGTCTCCTCCTCCTTCATCTTGTCGCCGTAATCCTTCCACAGCTGCTCGACAGGCCTACCCACGATCTCGGTCCAGAACTCCTTCTCTTTGTAGCGCTGGGTACGAAGCTTCTCGTTGATCCTCCGCACGGTGCCCTTGCCAAAGCGGCCCTCGAGGTAGTCGAGGAAGTAGCCCGTATGCTGGTAGCCGCCGTCCCAGTTCCCGGTGGCGTCGCGCTTCCAATGGGGCGGGCTCAAGTCGGCGTTGAGGCGGACCCAGTCGGCGATGCCCTCGATCAGCCCGCCCGGGCAGGTTCCGTGGGCGTTGTACTGGAAGCAGTGGACCATTTCGTGGGTGAGGACGCCCATGATCTCGGCGGTGCGGCGGTCGGCGGGGATGCCGGCGATGTAGGACATGGAGAAGTGGATTTCCTTGTGGTCGTCGTCAAGGTCGGAGCCCGTGGTGTAGGCGACGCCGCCCATGGGGCGGAGGATGAGGGTGACGGAACGGGTTGGCGGGACGTGGGTTGTGTGGTTGGAGGGGGACTCGTAGAGGAGGGTGAGGACGGAGCGGACGGCGGTCGCGAGGGCGGTGCTGGCGTTCACGGCGGAGAGGAAGTGGGCTGCGGCCGGGTCGTTGAGGTCGCGGATCTCGAGGCGGAGCTTGGGGAGGGCAAAGTCCGGGACGGGACGGGGGTGAGTGCTGGCGGAACCGGCGGCGGGGACTAGCGGTTGCTGATCTGATGATGGTGATGATTTGAGGTGGACGGGGAGCGGGGTGGCGGCCGGGGGCGGCGGGGCCGGGCCAGGTGCCACGGAGGATGGGGTCGATTCTCGGGCGGCAGAAGACATTGCTGGGAGGAAGATGGTGATGGGATCGGGGTTGGGCGTGGTGTTTGGTGGGAGGACCATCTGTGGGAAAGCGTCCCGCGAGGGGGGTTTTGAGGGGAGGCAGTAGCTCGAGATGATGCGCCCTACGGATCCGGATAGTTTGAGGTTAGGTAAGGTACTTGTTGGAGCTACCTAGTACCTTGGTTTCGTGAGTACCTGGTAAGGTACGGTAGCGTGAGGTAGTGGTGGTTAGGCAAGGGCGATTGATGTAATGGGATGCAGGTACTTTGTTCGAGTTTCAACGCCCGAGGTGAGTGGTTGCATGCGGAAGCGGATACTCGTTGTATGCACGCCAGTACTCCTCGTACAATTCATATCACGATCTCGGTTTCTAGAGGTTGTATGGAAATAGGAAACGCTCCTCCTTTTATGTCTGAGGTGAACGAGGGAAGGAAAACAGGAATTCCACGAGCCCACATCATTTTGACGGAGGACCCTGTTCCATACGCCGTAAGATGCAGCGTGACAGGCAACTGGAGCTCCCGATCGGGGGACCTACCTTAAGGTGCGTAGGTGCTTGAGTGGGAACGTGCCTCCCCCGCGGCTGCAGGGGTAAGGGTCCGGGCCCCGTGGCCGCCCCCCTCACCTCACTGCTCCGGGCCCTCCCACGATAAGCGGATAAGGGACCTAGCGCGGCTTCTCTTAGCGTCCCGCAGCACCGCAGGAGCGGAACCCCCAGCCAATGGTCGCCTGGGCTGGGGCTTGCTAATGCTGGGTGCTGCTGGTGCACGGGACAACCTGCGATGCCCCTTTGTTGTGTTTGGTTTCGAGAACGTCAACCACATCCATAAACAACAACCCCATTTTGCCCATCTCCATTCTGCCACTGCTGCCACCTGCGCAACCCGGCCCCAATCTGTCACATTCTTCGCACTGGGATATTCCTCCGTGTTGCTATTCGCTTCCCAAGGCATATTTGCACAAAGTTGTAAGCTATTTTCCTCTGCCCTACCAGTTTCAACCGATATCATACACCCCCCTCCCCTCCCCCCCGGTGCGCTAAACGATTCATGCCATCGCTCATCGTCGACCTCCCCGTCGCTCGTCTGTCCTGACTGGCTACCTACCCGCCCGCGCGCAAACCGCCCCATTCGTCCAAGCTTCCTTTGTGATGACGACGACGACGATACAAACAGACAACTGCTGACACTGCCATCTACTCGCACCAGGCACAACCCACCTCGAACCCAACCCTCGTTTTGCAGGGAATGGCGGAAAAAATCACCGAAGAACAGGTCGACGACCTGCTGAAGATCCTCCGCAGCGAGGCCAGCGTCGATCAAAAGGTCCAGCACGTCACCGGCATCAAGTCCGGCATCAAGCAGCACAACGTCCCCGATGTTCTCGTACCACAAGTTTTCGACGGCCTCCGTACCGCCTCTACCTCGCCGCACGCTGTCCTCGTCAACGCCGGCTTCACAGCCCTCAACCACCTCCTGACAAGACTATCGAGACAGGAGCCAAAGTACATTGCCAAGGATGCGAAACACACACTTCCCCTGGTCATTGACAAGCTCGGCGACCCCAAGGATAAGTTCAGAAGCCTCGCATCGCAGGCACTGACCACCATCTACACGGCCGCCCCCATGGACGTTGAGCGCTCCGTCAAGAATGTTGCCATGGTTGGTAAGAACCCGAGGGCAAAGGAGGCCAGCATGCACTGGCTGTTGTACATGCACCAGGAGCACGGCACTCAGTTTCGCGCCTACGTCCCGACTCTCATGGAGTTGCTCGAGGACGCTGATGGCATGGTGCGCGACGTCGCTAAGAGCACTGTCATCGAGCTGTTTCGGTATGTCTTCTGGACGCGGGTTCAACCGCATAATTTGCGCTGACTGATATAATGCAGGAATGCCCCCAACGCGGCCAAGTCCGACCTCAAGAGACAGCTAAAGAACTTCAATGTTCGCCCCGCCATTGAACAAGCCATTGTGAAAGAGCTTGCGCCCACGGCAGCCGATCGACCAAAGACTCCAGGCCTCGACGCTCCCGCACCTGCCCCACGACCAAAGCTCGCCGCGAGTGTATCTTCCGTTGCGAGCGAACGCCCCGTCACTCCAGCCCCCGAAACGCGAAGCGAGGTCGAGCCGTCATATGCCAACACCCAGCGCGAGTTAGACGATATTTTTAGGGAAATGATGACGTATTTTGAGGGCAGGGAGTCGGAGCAAAACTGGCTGAAGCGCGAAGAGAGCATGACAAAGTTGCGCAGGCTGATTGCCGGCAACGTCCCCCAAGACTTTCCCGACGCCTTCCTGCTGGGTTTGAAGGGACTACTCGACGGAATCATCAAGGCCATCACCTCGCTACGGACCAGTCTTTCGAAGGAAGGCTGCAACCTGGTACAGGATATCGCCATGACCTTTGGCCCCGGCATGGATCCTTTGGTGGAGCTTCTTATGCAGACCTTCATCAAACTCGCCGCGGCAACGAAGAAGATTGCTTCCCAGCAGGCAGATACCACAGTCAACATCATCATCGGCAAAGTCACCTACAATTCGCGCATCATGCAGCATATCTGGGGTGCATGCCAGGACAAGAATGTCCAGCCCAGAACGTATGCCACCGGATGGCTCAAGACGATCCTGACCAAGGAAGCCCACCACAAGAGTCACATTGAGCACGGCGGCGGACTAGATCTTGTCGAGAAATGCATCAAAAAGGGGCTCAACGACGCGAATCCGGGCGTAAGAGAGCGCATGCGTGCCACCTTTTGGGTGTTTGCCAGAATCTGGCCACCTAGAGCAGATATGTAAGTTGAGGGTGCCTCGATGTGTCATGCGTCTTGCTGACAGAAAAAACAGGCTCAAAGACACGCTGGAACCGACTGCGCAGAAGCTCCTCGACAAGGACCCCAACAACCCCAACGCCCCTAAGAGGGAAGTCGAGGCCACGCGCGCCAGACCAGGCCTGGGCCTGTCAAAGAGCACGATGGGCACTGGAAAGCCGACCTTGCGTGAGACCATGATGGCACAGAAGAAGGCGACGATGGCAGCATCACAAAAGTTGCCGCCTCGCCCTGGCTCTGCAATGGCCAATCTGTCTCCCGCTCGACCACAACAAGCGGCGTCCAGCTCGTCGAGCGGCCCAGCGCCGTCCGCTAAGCCGACAGCCTCAGGAGGCATGTCTGTCCGCCCCATGAGACCGACCAAGAGAAGGCCAGAAATGGCGGCGCGACCCGCGACGGCGGGACCCTACTCAGTACGCACGCATGATGGACCCTCCGCCGAGGCATCTAGTCCCGAAAATCCGAAGTCTAGGAGCACTACAACGAGGCCGAAGACAGAGGCCTCCCCACGGAGAGCCCAAAGTAGGCCCCGTGCTGCAACATCTCATGCCTCACCCGGCGCCAAGTCAACCCTCTCGAAATCTGTTTCTTCCCCTCGCGACTCGCCCCGCACAAGTCCTGCAAAGCCCAAGAGGATGCAGACCACGGTCCCGACGAGTAGCCCGTCCAGGGACAACGAAGATCTCACACTAGTGGTGCCGAGCCTCGGGAGCTTGAAGTCGCCTCCAACTTTGGATCGACGCCAAAGAGCCGCGACAGAGGAGCCGACAGTACCAGACTTTGAGGCAGATGCGCCTGCGGAGGTTGCGGCGGAGATTCCTTTGCCCCAGACCGAGCCAGCACAAGCATCTTCTGAGCCTACTCCGGAACCTGCCGAGCAATCTTTGGCAGAACCAGAAGATGAGGTTGCTGTTGAAGCTTCAACCGAGACATCATCCGAAGTTCCAGCGGCCGAGACCGAAGAGGCGTCGGCAGAGGAGGCCATGGAAGCACCTGCCGAGGCTGCGGCGGGAGGATTAGCCCCCTCTCCTGTTATAGAGGAGATGGCTAAGGCAGAACCGGAGCCGGCGCCAACGAATGGACTCAAGGTGTTCGAGGACCCCTTCGTTGATGACGGTACAACTGCCAACCCGGATATCACCACTCCCGTTCTGGAAGACAAGCCCGTAAACGAGGTTGCTGCGCCAGCGCTGAGCAACGGATTTGAGGCTAACGGCACTCCCGAGACTCCCGAAAAAGCCCGTCAGACGTCGAGACTGCTCGACAGCGGTGTAACGAGGGTCAAGGCGAAGTCTCTGGACGTCCACGGCTTCAGGAAGCTACAATCAATCATCAGAGACAACAAGGCTGTTTTCACGGATGAGAAGTTCGAGGCGCTGCTTCGAGGGCTATTTGAATATCTCGAGTCACCTCTAGAAACCCTCGCGCCGGAGAGGGTTCAGGATGTCAAGGCACAGATCCTCGCGACGATCAAGCTTTTGCTTAAGAAGGAACGGGACAACTTCCAGCCGCACGTCTCACAAGGGCTCGAGTCTCTCGTGTCAACGCGCAGCGCATACGACTCACGCACTCGCATCGTCAGCGGTCTTGAGCTTCTCGCAGAAGAGCTCGTAGCTCTCGGAGACCCACCCGAGATCGTTGTGGTCATGACCAAGCTTCTGCAAAGCAAACAGGACACTACGATTGAAGGCAGCCGCTGTCTCGCTACAGGTCTGCATGTTCTTAAGGAGCTTCTCGACAAGCGTACTGGCTTCACGCCCTCGGACAACGAGCTCGCACAGCTTGCCGGCCTTGCTGGCCGCTGTCTCGAGTCAACGGATTCTGGTGTTCGCATGGGCGCCGTGCAACTCTGCGTTGCTCTGCACGCGCGGATTGGGGATGCGCCGTTCTGGGAGCTTATCAAAGGTGCCAAGGATGACCCGAAGAACCTCATCACGTACTATATCGCGAAGCACCAACGAGAGAGCAGCGTCGGAGCTTAAATACCAGTGCACGATATGGAACTATTTCCAAGAGATGGAGCCTCGCTGCAGGAGTTGGAACGGCGTCGGGAGGTGTGGGTGGCTTGGTGGTTAATACCTCATTGACCTCGACAAAAAAGTGAAAATGGAGTTTCTATTGTTTGCTTAAAAGGGCTAGGCAAGGAAAGGGATACTGAGGGCCGAGCTTGTAGGCGAAGGCGAGGTTCTTGTTTTGGGTTCTGCGTAATTTACATCTTGGAAGCCTTCTTCTTGTATGCCTTCTTTATAGCTGCTCGGCATAAGCTGTGTACTGTACCAACATACATCATATTCTATTCTGATAAAACCCCAGTTTCTATCGTTATGTTATGCGGTCCCTCTGTTCTCGAAGCCCTACTGGGTTCCTTTCTTTGGACAAACCGGTCTTATGCTCACTTCGCGGTCACCCGGATGCCCGAGTCTGGGGACAAAGTTCCTCGGGCCGGTTCAGAAGGGGGGTTTGCCCGACACCGGCGCGAGGTTCGTTCATTATTTGGCGTGGTAGGGAAGGGGGGGGGGGCAGCTGGTATTTTTTTGATGGAGGGGAGTGAGACGTGGCTGGGCCAAACTTGTCGTTCCGCTTGAGACAGAAAATAAGTAGGAGGATGAGGTAAGGTCAGGTCAGGCCTGGTTCAGGTCTAGGCCTGGTTTAGGCTGAGTGTGCAGCGGCGCATCTAGATGACTTGCACTGATGGACGTGCCGACCTGCCAAAGCATGAGGGCGTGCGTACGTCTTTGGGTCCATGGCTCTTGGACGCGGATGCTCAAGCACAGCGGGTGTTCCTCCATGACATCTGCAATCATTGTCTTCGGGGAAGGGGGAACATGGGACGGAACGGGGGCCTGGCTTGAACGTAGAGAAAGAGTAAGTATGCCTGCGTCAGGTTGACTAAGACCATCTCACTTGTCAGGCCATGTCATGTCCGGCAAGGGGGCGCGGACGACGCGGGGAGACCTGTCAGAGAAACTCTGTTTGATGGGTTTTTGGTTCAGCAGACGTAGCTGTGCACAGTAGAGCAACCATTTTTTTTTTCTGAGCCCAGAGGAGGATATTGGGTCGTGAGGGATGTTCCAGCAAGCAAAGCTCCCCCTTTCTTGGAGACTATGTCTTGATATAGTAATATCTTCCCGCATGTGTCTTTATCACAAGGTTGACACTCAGCCACGTTTGTGTAAAGGCAGCCTCCGTCTTGCATTGGAGCTGCGGCGAGGTCGGGAATCGCATGACGTGCGGCGACTCCGACTGTTGCTGTGAAAAGGGGATCCCGTCCGGGAGGAGGGGGGGGGGAGAATGCAACTTCGGAGAATAAGCCCACGGGCTGCCGGGCGGGCGGCGGCGTTGAAATTTTGGAGGTGGGAGGGCCGGCCGCATGAGAGACGGCCGTGCTAATCCTTGGACGCGGCTCTCCGGAACTCGCAGAAGCAGCCGCAGCCCCTTTGACTAACATACTGGGTAGCAATAGATCTGGTCGGCCCGGCTGAATATGGGCGGCTGGCCCGAGTAATTGGAAACAAGTCAATTATAGCTGACGGTTCACCGATGACACTGTGGACGTGCAGTGATTGCCCCTGTCATGGTTGGAGTCGGCGATTGCCACGTTTCCTCATTCGAGCATCCCGTAACGCCATGTGCTGTCGCCGTTGCTTGGATTCATGCGACGCGAGGTTGTCCGTCCCTTGAGCAAACCGTCCAAAGTTTCCAAGGGGAAGGGAAGTGAACCCAGCGTGATCGGCAATGTGAATGCCCAAAAGTGGACGTATGATTGGGGGAAAGGCCAGGAGTGTCCATGGACGACCAGCGCTGGGAATGCTCGAGTTTCGCAAGGGACAACGCATCTGGGAGGCCGAGGATTACGCGGTCCCCTGCGGCATCCCGCCCGCGTCCGTGGAATTCTAGGAATTTGAGCGGTTGACGAGAGGGCTGGCGGGTCCCATGTCGAAAGCTTGTAGTCGGGATATGATGCCTGCATCTATCGACCATTGGGCGAGGGGGCTGGATGAGCCATCTACTGTATCCGTACAATCGAACGATTGGGAACGTGCTGGGTGGATATGTCGTGAACTGAATGCTGGGTTTGAATCGAGTTGAGCTGAAAGGAGTCCCCCCCAGAGACTAGAATTGAATGAGAGCGTTGCAATCAACAAATTGGGTGATGTTGACAGCGTAGCATTGGGGCCAGTTGCCAAACTTCAACGCTGACAAGCTGTTGAAGAACGAACATGGGTTTTTCTTAGCGAGCGCATCAGTGGATTGTGGTTCCACTTTCTGACCTTCTAGGCTAAAGGGTCTCTGTTGCAATATTCTAATGTCGCAAGGCGCTCGCCATGATTACTCGAGGAACAAGAGGGATGCCGACGGCTCCCGTAGCGGCCATGGAGAGCCGTGTGGATGCTTGCACTTGATTGAGATCGAGACGACGAGGAGGCTGACGTTTCGTCGTTAGCAAAGGCAACTGAGCTGTCAGAATGGTTGATCGTGCCGAGAGTTTCCATCTGTGCTCCCATCGACGTGGACTCCCTGTCGAGAGTGAGAGAGTCTTGGTAGGGCTCTGAGGGGAAAATTCGCTTAGACGAGGTTCCACGGTGTATTATTCGCAGTCCTATCCGCAGTCGTCAACTCGTCAGGCTTCATATATTGGCCTACTATGAAATAGCTTGCTCGATTGCCTTCTCCACAGAAATGCCGGTTTTACATCCACGATGGAACAGGGCCAAAATGTTGGTTCTCATTGCCGCTATAGTCCGGCTTTGATGAACGAGTCAAGGAAAGTAAAGAACAGCTATATCCGTAAGGTTGGACCTCTTGAGTAACTGAGATGCCATGCAACTTTGCAAGACTCCAACAATGACGAACATTTGAATAGCAGGCTGTGCGAAGAGCGGTGTACTACCTCCAGGCCTAATACCATGGGACGAGCCAGGTCCGGGATTGCTGTAGAGGTACCGAAACTGAGGGCCTGAAACCCAACAGAGCCGATTCCTTCCCCAATCGCGGTTCTCTGGGGATATTAAAGAATTGGATGTAGGACGACACCATGTAACACTAGGATGCGGGCTGGCATACTAGGTAACAACTTGGCGCGATTGGAAATGGTGTTTGAAACGAAGGCGGGGAGCTGGTGAAGCACATCGCCGGTTGTCGCCATGAATTGTTCCGTGAGTAATATTCCGTAGCCAGTCTGTATGATTACAGAAGACACTAGAGCCCAATCTGGGTTCGTAGTATGAAAGATATCGTCGTCCTGACCTTGGGGGGCAATAGAAGTCATGATTGGCTGACAAGGCCAAAGTCAACATTAGGCGAAATCTTGGGTGAGAAGGCGATGAGCACGGCTACAGGGTCAAATCTTGCTGACCATGACTATTAGAACCATAGACTTGCCAGTAAACCTGCTCCATCTACCCACACACACCGAGTGTGCTGGACTGTTTGACAACGACGTTAGCCAACGGCCCGCTGATGGACACCGGCGACCCGGAAGCAATCTGTGCTCTGCTGGTTGGGAGGTCTATCATTTGTTGATAACGTTGTTGTGGTCCGTAGAACGTTCCTTGACGAATATCACGGATAATGGACGGATCCACGGCTCATTTGAGATGCTGAGGCATTCAGGTATTTTGTGATTGCCAATGGATGTGATGAGACCATGTTGACGGCAATTGTGCGGTCTTTTGGCGCGCCGTTGTATTCGCAAATTGCAAAATGGAGAAGAAAAGGGTAGGTATTGTTGGGTCCCGGAGGATCGGCTACATGGATTGTGGATGAGTAGCGGTAGAGATGTGCGGATGGCTTCAAACCGTCCCTCTTTTTTTTTTCTTTTTTTTTTTTAGGATAGAAAGACTGTGAGACTGAAGAGAAGCGAGAGGAGAAGGATCCGGATCGACCTGGTGGCGTTTGCAGCGGAGAGGCGTTTAGTTGAAACAGTAGCCCCGAATCTCCACTTGCGCCTTCCACGTCCAGTCGTTCACCCGTCTCGACTTCTCATTTAGATGAGGTACGTATCCAAAATCAAGGGTTTACCCCTCTCCGACCCCGACGACGATACGTACCTTGCAAAGTACCCTCCTAAGGTGCCGCGGTGCCTACCTATCTGCTGCCCGTGATGGCATCTTCTGATTCCGTCTCGTTACCGTACCTTACTGCTTACCAGCTATCACACGCTCACTGCCATCATCAATTGCAATCGTATGGCTTGCCATGACAGTCTGCCACTGGATCGGTCCCTGCAGACACAATCCTACCCCCTACTAGCCTCCTTTCCTGGAGATTGATTTCCTCTCACAAAGCTCCGGCGCATCTAATACTTGGCAGGGTACTATCCGTACCCCAATATCACAAAGTCTCCGTGAGACGTTCGATCGACGACCACTGACTACAACTCAACCCTACAGTGTACCACGGTGGCATCGCGTCTAACCCGAATTTTCCAGGTATACTCTTCATCGCTGGAAGTATTGATCGACCTTCTTCGCTCGATTTCAACGGTCCAACGCGGCTCATCGCCATCCTCATCTTCTGCTGATCTCCAACACCGAGCCTGGCGCTACACTAACATAACAGCAGGGTTGTCGTTGAGCCACACGCTGCGAGCTGTGAGGGGGGTTGGGGGTTCCAGAGCTTGGCCGCTGATCAGAAGGGCCAGACTAACAGCCGACCAGCTCCTTCGTTTCCTCTGCCTCTCTACAGAGTACTGTGCTGTGTAAGCTGACGGATATTATTACATTGTTGGAGGCGGAATCCCGATCGATGAACGGCACCTAGTCAACGACAAGTCTCGCTAAATTTAGCATTGACTCTCCTACGCCTGTGAACTACAGATACCTTGAGCTTCTGGCGTCCTGGTGGTTCACGTCAACCTGGGACCTGCCTCGCCTTGCTGGAACGACACACGACACAAGACACACGACGTGGACGTGACAGCCACAGCCCGAGCTACGGGCAAGGAGAAACGACTTGTTTTCAATCGGTCGAGTGTCTACAAGCCGTTTCGGTTCTCCGTCTGATGTTCTGATACGGTTGATACCTACAACGTGCTCCGCGATACAACGTGCCTTGTCGGTTCTTCTACCATACGTTTGGTTTGCCGCTTCTGCGCATGCAACGTCGACCGAACTTTGACTGCCCAAAGGTCGGCAACTAGGTTCGGGGAGAAGCCCACTTCAAACCCTCGCGTCGCCTTCGAGTCATTACTGCTATCAAGCTCAAACCCAATATTGGAGTCTTGTCGCCAGCTCATAGCTCGCTCGCAGTTTCTCGGAGCTAACCCGCAGGAACTTAGCTGCTTAGGAAGCACGAACGGATCGCCGGCTGGGCCTGGCTGGTGTCCCACGCCTCGGCCGTGCCTCAGCTGGACCTGCAGCTAACGGCGCATAGGGACATCCCGTCAGATGCCTTTCAGGTACAACACACCACACATTTTACGCGCATGCAGCGCGCGAGAGATGCAAACAATGTGAGAAATAAAGGTTCCTCGAGAAGATGGACTTGGGTCATGAGCTGTAGCTCTTCTGCGGTACACTGCAGAGGAGTCCCATCCATGACCCATCCCATCCTACGCCGTCTCAACTCCTGCCGCTTAATCAACTGCGAAGACGACCAACAACAACATAATGTCCTCCTAGTGCTGAGCCGCAGTAAGGCATGAGTTGCCATTTGAGATCTCCACTAGGCAGCCTCCACCGTAGAAGAAGGCAGAGGAACAACAACAACCCCAATCACGTCTGCTGTAAGTGCAACGGCCCTTTCATTACCGTCTAACCGGGCTCAATTTTAGGTAGCTCCCTTGTGTGTCTCCTAGGCTCCTACAGCTTGCCGGATGGGGTGGACAGCCACGGCAGTCATTTGTTTGCATGAGGCCGTCAACTTAATCATCTTTGCCAGGATAGCTACGTAGACCCGGTGTAGATGGTAGTCGTTGTCATACTTCGCCTAGCACAACACCGTCGCCTCCTATGCTTCGGTTCTTATTCAATGGGCCTGAGCGTGTAAGTCACCAGAGACGTTGCTTGAAAGTACTCTACCGCACTGTCTCAAGTCCCTTGCTTATTACCGCCTGGCCTACCCACTTCATCTCATCAGTCTGGAAATTCGACATTGTCAACAATACGAATGGTAATTTCGATGCGGGCACTTGGAATCGGGCCCATGGAACGAGCAACGGCGACTTTGATCAAATACGTACAAAGCTCATCGGGCTTACATAGCACCGCTGGTCGGCATTATTTGTTGGCAGTGTACGGTTCTAGAGGCACTTGTGCTGAAGCCTGGTGTATGAGTTTCTTGTCCAGCATGTCCTAGCATGTTGTTGTTGCGCTGCTGTCTATCGACTTGGATGTTGCAAGTACACTTGTCACTGGCGACTTCTGTCATCCCCTGGATCGAGTACTCTATCACTCTGAATTGGCACGAAAATACCTAGCACAATAGCATGCAACAGGTATCGAAGCCCCTGACGGCCGGTGGCCAGTCAGCAGGCTTGGGTACCTGGCGGAATACCCCACGTCTTATTCCCATGAGACTTGCGTCCCTCGCTCCGCCGCCGGGAGATGACCCCAGCAGCAGACATGATGATACTGCGTATGAAGTGGACTGTGGACTCGTGGAGGGGGGTTTGAGTGATGAAGGGTTCCACTATTTGTGCCACAGAAGGGGATGGGCCTTTGCTCATCTTCTTTTCTCATGTCCACGTCCCGTTCACGCTGGGCTGTGACGGCTCTGTGATGTTCGTATGTGCGTATATCCGTACGGATTATGCGCACCCACATACCTTAGCTCGCGGGTAGGTGTCATGTCATGTATTCCTTCTTCTGTCCTAGCATCTCTTGTAGTTGTAGGAGCATAACAATGAAGAGTCGCAGATTGGGGGGATCCCAGTCTGTGTGTCCGAGAGACAACAGCAAAAAAACAAAATAGCAACCATTCCTCTTCTCTCTGTCTCTATCTTAATCTTTCTGTTTTCTTCTTCTTTCTTTCCGTTTTTTTCACGCTACAAAGTGTTGTGGCTCTGCGTAAAACGAACGCACTGCAAGCCCAAATACCTATTCCACTTATGCCTGCAAAAAGACGCCTCTTGGAGTCCTGCCTAGCTCAGGCACGTGGGACATTGTCTGCCTTGAGATGCCTGCATAAGATGGAACATACATTATATACAGGCTGGGCCTGAAAGCAAGGCGTGTGGAATTCGGCGTAGAAGCCGTGACTGGGTCTCTCATTTTACCTCAACCTCATCAGAAGCGTCTTGATTAAACTGAATGATGTTATCATTTTGGCGAACAAAGTTAACGATGTATTGCCGTATGAAGGAAGGGGAAAAAAAAAAAGTGTTGGACTCCAGACACCCACCCCGCTGCTTGCCCTGCCTGCCCGGGGAGGGGGTAAGCTACTTAGGTACCTTAGGAGGCATGTGTGGATTGTGGAAGGAGATGGGAACCAGGAAGAACCTCGCCCCAAGGTACCGATCACTCCCGCCTTGTTCCCAACTTCATCACCCCCTCCGTACCACAGCACCGCACCATCACATCTGCCAGCGTTTGTGTGTCCCATCATCCCGTTCCACCTCCCGTCCGCCCAGCCCCGTTTCTCATCCAGTTCCAGTCCCCGATTCCACCTCCACCTTAGTCTATCAGTCTCCCGTTCCATCCAGAGTGCTCCTCCTCCCCCGAGTTCCCCCCCAAATTCCACGACGAGCGCCACCGCCATCCACCAGTGATCTTTTCCTTAATCTCTTTTCCCCCTCGCTCTGTGAGTGTATGTGTATGTGTGTGTGTCGGCGAAGGCACAATCCCTTCTCTTCCCTCTCTCTCTCTCTCTCTCTCTCTCTCTCTCTCGCGTTCTCTCCCTCACTTGATTGTACCGTATCCGTCCTTATACACACCTAAGTGTCATTCACCTACTAAGGTACCTTCCTTACCTTAGGTAGGTACGGATAAAGGTACTTGGACAGTCTTCCAAGTTCCACCCCTCGCTTTTCTCGTACACGCTAGCAATTTACCTTACCTTCCACATTACCTTTACTCTGTACTCCGTACATGACCCATCACTGCCTTAAGGCAAGGTCCGCGCGTTACAAGCACCTTCCTTCATTACGCAGTAGAGGCCTTCCAGCTCTCTCTCCCCCATCAAACTCTCTTGTACCTTGCTAAGGGCCTGGACAGCCCCCTGAACCCGTCCTCCCACCCTTTGCTACCTGACTGCGCAGGTTCCCCGGCACGCCAGGTTCGGTCCTCACCATCCCGTTGCTGTTAGCCCGGTACCGCGCGGACCAAGCCCAGGGCTTGCCATCGTCTCGCTCGTCCTCCACGTCGTCGTCGCACCTCTTCATCCAACCGACCATTCGAGGGCCTAGTTTGTCACCACAATTCCCAATTCGACAAGCCCGCGCCCAGCTTTGCTCTCGCTTCCACTGCCACCAAGAGATCACGGCCTCTGCCACTTCACCTCATTACATTGCTTCACCTCACCTAACCCTGATTTACATCACCGGCGCCGTATCGCTTCTTTTTGGGTTTTTGCCTTTTCCTTTTTTTTCGCCTCCCCCAGAGGCCCCGAGCCCTCGAGTACAACTTCTTACCTTCTCGCTGGCGAACTACATCGAAAACCCTCCAGACGAAATCAAACGAGCGCTACCACCACGACGACACCGCTCACGCCCCTCGCTACTCTCACCACCTCGACATTCACTTTCCGCACCGCCCGTCTGGTTTCGCTGCTATCGCGCTTCTTGAGCACACGCCCCCTTTCGAAGCGCCATTCACTCCAAGCTATCTTGCCCGTCGTACACGCCCTTCCTGTCGAGCTTCTGGCACGAACCGCACAGCCTGCCGACCGATCCTCATCTCTCGTCGTCCATGATACCAGCTTTTCACAGTTGATCCTTCGCTTATCGATCGTTTTGCTTTCGACTTGCTTTCATGACCGGCGACAAAGTCGTCTTCCTGCTCGCCAGATAATTGTCGTGACGACGTCCTACGAAAAAGGACCTTCTGCCCGTCATGACTGCCGTTGTGGAGGATTATTTGGAGAGTCCCATGGACAATGACGACGTCTTCCCTTGCAAAGGTTGCGGCGAGGTACGATGGCCCACCCCCGTCACTTCTGACTATTCTGCAAGCACGTACTGATGGCGGTACCCTACCCGACTAGATCCTCGAAGAGGGCAAAGCGTTCGAACTTGGTATGTCCCCTACAATTGCTTCTTTTCTCAACTCACTCTTGCCCTATTCTCTGTTTCTGTAATATGCTCTGAGAAGCATCATCATTTGGCTTCACTCTGTGGCCATGATGTCCTCCGTGGCCATGGCGCCGTCCGCAGTCTCCAAGTTCAACCAGGCTAACCAGTCTCCTCCTCGTTCAGCCGGCAACCGATGGCATCTCAACTGCTTCCGCTGCAATACTTGCGGCACCCTTCTCGATTCCGATGCCAACCTGCTACTTCTGGGCGACGGCTCGCTCATTTGCAACAACTGTACATATAGCTGCAGTGCTTGCAACAACAAGATCGAAGACCTCGCCATCCTCACTGGAGATCAGGCCTTTTGCGCAACGTGCTTTAGGTGTCGCAACTGCAAGCGGAAAATTGAGAACCTGCGATATGCTCGAACCTCACAAGGCATTTTCTGTATGAGCTGTCACGAGTCGCTCATGGCAAGACGGAGGAAAAAATCAAAAGCAGCAGCCCAGGCCAAGTCGAAAGAGAAAGACGGCTCCCCTATGATTACCGACAAATCACTGCCCGCCTTGCCACCCAACGCCATTCCCCCGAACGCCTTCCACGATACCAAGGTCGACCCCGACTCCGACAAGGAGACTCCAACCGAGCTGTCCCCAAGACCGCGACCGGCATACGGCAGAAATGATTCTTCATCGAAAAGTAGCACTCGGCCTTCGCGTTCTCCTGAGCGTGTCTCCGAGCCCACCAGGGAAAGCGGCTTGGGGCTTCCTGCTGCAAACTACCGCAACAACCGCAACTCAACCATGTATGCTCCTAATAACAACGCCGATACGAACGGTGGTGACGACGGTTTCTTCATTCCGGTGGCGCTGGATAATAACCCGGCATCGAATGCCACCCCACGATCGACATCGGAGAATGTGTCCAGCGCATCCAAGAAGGATAAAGACTACTTTAGCGTGCCCCGAGCCAGCACTGATAAAAAGGGCGAATCCCAATCCTCAACACCCCATATTGCTTTTCAGGAGAAGGGTCGACAGCCGTCGTCCGATTACGAGTCCGGGCCCATTAAGTTGCCGCTGCGCAAGACTTCAAAATCGTCTAGACATGACGGACGATCATCGGTCATCAATGACGAGAAATCACAGAAGGTTACAACCGGCAAGCTTTCGCCGTCGATTGATGAGTTTAAGTTGCAAGATGCGCCCAAGAGCAAGAAGCTCATTAGCCCGAGAAGTGCCTCTCACTCGGCCGCCTTGACCCCAGAGAGCGGCAGCGCCAAGAGCAGTGAAGGTGTTCTGCGCAAAGACAAGGAGCCGTTTCCTAACTTGCCTTCGTCCGATTCACCTCCCCGCATGGCCCGATCGTCTCAAGATTCGAGACAGCGCGATGAGAGCGACGTGCGTCCTTCGATGGACTCCATCTCTTCCTCGCGAACAGACACAACTGCTGGCAAATCCATTGCTCGTAAAGAGCTTCCCTCGCGTAACTGTAAGTCAATTTCGCACTCGTGTTTTACCATCATGCAAGGTGCACCGACCTAACCTTCTTTTTACTCTCCCGCAGCCAACGGCAAACCTCTAGGTCGATCCAACACACATGATGAGACAAGCTCATCAGGTCTCGCAGCCGGGCGACCGAATATGACTGAGCACAAGCTCAGCGATACCTACATGCAGCCTCGAGCACCCCCGCAACCGCCCGGCAAACCTGCCAACTCTCCCAATCCTCCCGCAAAGGATCAGGCGAACGTCAACGAGGAAGGAAAGGTATCACCTAAGCTGCCTAGATGGAGTGCAGGTGGCGATTTCAGTATGGACGAGGACATGGCGAGGATACTCGGCACCGACGCAGATTCGTCGTCCATCCTTCGTCGTGTATCAAATGCTGTCCGTCACGGACGTACCAACAGTACCGAGGGTGGTCATTCTCAGACTCAACATCCTCATAGAGTCACAGGTCACACGAGGAGTATCAGTGAGACCACCCGTGGTACCGCTTCTCCTCGCTGGCCCAAGACCCCCATCGCCGAGGATCCCAACGGACATGAGATCAGTAGCCCTATTTCCCTCCACTCGAGCGACGATCCGGCTTTCCTCAAGAGGCAATTGCGCAACTCAGAGAATCGCGTTGCTGAGTTGGAGAGACAGTTCACCACGGAGAAGGACTTGAAGCGTCTTAACAAGACGCTCATTGAAAAGCGCAAAACAGTTTCGGTGTTGGATACTCAGACTGAGATTATGATTCGTCAGCTCGAAGTTCTCGCCGGATACGTCGAACGCGCAAAGGAGACCAAGACACCTGTCGATCCCCGCGACCTGGAAGATTCCGCAATCAAGGAGTTTGTGCAGAAGCTTGACAAGGTCAAGCAGGCAATGAGCGCAGCTATCGAGCAACTGCACGAAGAACGCGACGAGCTGGTCGACGAGAAGAACCAAGCGATGGCCGACAGGGACCGCGCTCTACTGGAGTTTGAGCAGCTTTCTTCCAAGAACGCCCAGCTTGCGGACATGAACAACGACCTGACTCACCAGATCCAAGAACGGTTCAAGTCCCAGATTGGAGGCGAACTCAAGTCTCCTAACGGCCTCGGCATTTACAGCCAGAGCAAGGTCTTCTCATCATCCAACCTGAACCTCACCGACTCGGCGAGCATGACCACGACTCTCGTTCATGAGACGGATGAGCCAGTTGTTGAAGCTCGACCGACAGTGGTTGATATCAGGAAGGGGCAGGTAAAGAAGTTCAACTGGAAGAAGGGATCCAAGGGCCTCGCAGGAAGCGTGGCCAAGGGCGTCAACCGTGCCGTCGTGGCCTTCCAGCAGGAGCGCGAACGTGGTCCTCATCAGGGCCTGACAGGGGACAGCATCGGCCTGCCGTACAATATGACTGTTTCTCAAGTGGAAGCACCCAGTACCCAGGCTCCTGGACCTGCCTCGCAGCAGAAGAATGCGCAGCAAGCACAAGGATTTGGCTTCTTCAAGAACAAGAATAACCAGAAGTCCATGTCCACGACCAACGTGTCGACGCCCACGATCGCGGAGGCCCCTACTACCTTATTCGGCTCAGACCTGACTGAAAGAGCTGACTACGAAAGGCGCACCATACCAAGCGTTGTAACACGTTGTATCGAGGAGGTTGAGCTTCGCGGTATGGATATTGAAGGCATCTACCGAAAGACGGGCGGCAACTCCCTGGTGAAGGTCATTCAAGAAGGATTCGACAAGAGCGAGGACTACGACATTTCAGACCCTGGCCTGGACATCACCGCGGTGACGAGCGTGTTGAAGCAATACTTCAGGAAGCTGCCGATGCCGTTGTTGACGTACGAGGTGTACGACAGAGTCCTTGAGTCGAATGGTAAGTCGATGTACACACTCTTCCATCGAGTAATGAGCTAACAGTGCCTGGCAGCCATCGCAGACCAGACCGAACGCTGTGACCATCTTCGTAAGGTTTTCAGCACGATGCCACAGCGACACCGCGACTGTCTTGAGTTCTTGATGTTCCATCTTGCGCGGGTTGCCCAGCGGGAGCCTGAGAATTTGGTAAGCCTCAGTTTTAGTGGTGTAAGTTTGCAATTAAGCTAACTGATGTGACAGATGTCCCCCAAGAACTTGGCGGTCGTATTTGCGCCCACTATCATGCGAGATACGAGCCTGGAACGCGAGATGACAGACATGCACGCCAAGAACCTGGCTGTGCAATTCGTTGTCGAGAATAGCCACACCATCTTTACTGACTGAAAGACTGGCTTGGATGGACAAAAATGATGTTGGAAATTCCATGTACATATCAACGCACCCACGACTTGACGCCTTCGACCCCTTTCTATTCAACAAATCTGGCTCGGAGATACCTTTCTTCACGCCTGACGGCTTTTATTACTATCTCACATTTGGATTCGAGCTGTTCGAACGCCGTCATGACCGCAGCAATACGGGAGTCTTTTCCGCGCCAGGAAACTTTATGATATCCACATTTCTTGCTTCGGGGCACGAAAGGAGTTTTCTTTGGTTCTCGAAGGCAGGTTCAGGAATCAGAGCTGACGGGACGTTTTCACCATCGTTGCGAGAGCCCGATTCCACCTCGTCCAATCATGAAGTGTTGAGGGCGGTTCAGTTCAATCTTGTGACGAGGTTCCTGCGGTTGGTTAGAAGGAGGACGGGTCATGCGTGACAGGATAATGATCGAGCACGACGCTGAAGAGCATAGTACTTGCGCATGGAGTCATTGCGGGCGAGGTTGAATTCCAAGTTTTAGTGACGCTGCAAATATCTCGTGGATGGCCCAGCCCATCCTTCGTTATCTGAACAAAGCCAATCCAAAACTTTTATAAACCGTTTGTGCCCTAACAATGTGATATGATATATACAATGTGGTATCAAGCTATGCATGAGGACCGAGGCAGACTACTTGTAAGGTCTGACCCGCTCATTCTTCCCATCCTCTTTTTTTTCTAGGGGTTTTACCCTCTCACTTTGAATCCCCAACCATGCGCCTCACCTTCTCCAGCAGCAGCGCGCTCTCCCTGCCCAGCCTGCGCTGCCCGCCGTTCTCGGAGCCCTTGCGCGCTTTCGCCATGGCCCGGCGGTACCGCTCGCGGTCGGCTGTCTTGCGCTCGCGCTCCTCGCGGCGGCGCTGGATCTCGGCGCGGCGGGCCTCGGCCTCGGCTCTTTTCTTTTCGGCGTGGGCGAGCTGCTTCTCATAGTAGCCTGGCTTGCGGGGTCTGCGCTGCTGGCGGGGTTCGTAGCGGTCGCCGCTGGCGGTGTCCTCGGTTGCCGCTGTGGCATCGGCGTCGGCTGAATCTTCCGCCGTGTGCTTGCGTTTGACGGCGATTGTATTTGGGTTGGGGGGTTCGCCGTCGTTTTCGAGCATCTCTGCGCGGGAGGGGTGGACTTCTTCTTTTGAGGGGTGAGGCGTGGTTGATGTTGTTGTTGTTGTTGGCGCTGTCACCGGTGTTGGTGTTGATGATGATGAGTCTGTGGGAGTGTCTACTGCTGATGATGCTGCTGCTGCTGCTGCTGCTGCAGTGGGCACGGGAGAACCCGTCTTGCTGGAGGGGTCCTGGAGGGAGTCGAGCTCATCTTCGCTTGAGATGTCCTTTGTCAGAGCGGCTACGGTTGCGGCGGTGACATTGGTGGCGGGTTGCTGAGCAGTTGAGGAGGAGGGGGTTTCCCGGGAAGCGAGCTCACGCTCCTTGATCTTTGCGTAGGCCTTTTTGATCTTGGCCTTGTGGATGAGCTCGATTTTCTTCTTTTCGACTGTGAGAAGGTTAGTGGATAGTCTTCAAAGGAGTGAGGTTCGGGTCATATTCCTTACCCTTTCTACGCCATGGGCCCTCGGGTAGGGTATTTGGTCCGAAGCCCTTGCGCTTCTTGACTTGGTGGTCTTTTGAGGATGTGCCCTCAGTGGCGCGTTTAGGAGCCATGATTCGGGATGGTAGTGATGGTGAGTGAGAGAGAGAGACTGGAGTGAGGCAAGGCCGGTCGAGCCGTCGGAAACGAGCGAGGCGTTTTTGATCTTCTCTGAATGATGAAGTCCGTATGGACTAGGCGCCTTGAATGAGGCTTGTTCGTGCGGATCGGTTCAGTGGCGCGCTATGTGAGTGCGTGTAAGATTTCTGTATGAGAGTGAGAGAGAGCTTTGATGTAGTCGGTGGATGAAGCGATTGAGCAAGGATGAAATTTTAGGTGGATCCTGCGATGAGAGGTTCGAGAATGTGAGACGAAAGTGGCTTAGCGCATTTTCCGCTGGCCAGTGGGAGCCCGGTCCGTTTCGGACGTTGTGGACTGTGGACCCTCACCGGCTCCTGGTTACCTTATCGGACCTCACATTTCGATATCTACGTAGGTACCTAACAGCAAGCATGAACGAAACCGTCCGCGAGAAGGAAGCCTATGATGGGTTCTCAAAATTGAATTTTAAACATGTATCAGCTTGCCTTCAAGCAATCAAGCAACGTTGAATACCCCTTGTGAGCCTCTCCTTTTGGAGCGGACGACCTCTTGGAGGAACCTTTATCTGGCACCACGTTACGAATTTGATAGTCGCATTGGGAGGATAAGACGATTTTCTACCCAAATGGTACTTCATCAAAGACAGAAATCAACATTTGCTCTGCAACACAAGATATGTAAGCTTGATGTTGAATGTGGTTCGGAAGTTTCTTTAAATCCGGACTCAGATCATAAGGTAAGTAGACATCTCCAAGAACACTTAAGGATGTGGTCGCAGCTCAGTCCGGGATGGCGTTGATGCACTTAGGTGAGGAGCATTCACCCCTCAATACACTAGTGATGATATGTCAAAGGGTTTGTATCTATTAGACACAGATAGAGGATAAAAAAGAGTTCACCACCGGTGTGGCTACATCTCTTGGTGCTCATGCTGGGACTCGAACTCGTGATACTCGTATGCGCTAAGCCTGTCGTCGAGTAGGCTGATTGGCGATCTGAATATTGACCTTATACCACTCCACCGCCCAGACCAGTTTGACCTGACCCGTCGACCTAGACGGGCGTCTGCTGGCTGGCGACGGGAATGGAGTTGAGGGGGTATATATGGGATACCTGGCAACCCCTCGATACGAATACTAGCCTGCGACCTTTGCGACAGTATTCTGTCCCCATCGCCAATATTGGATATGGCAAATTAAGCATTAACCTTGGACTTTCACCTCGCAGTGGCACAATTTCTGTCGATATGGCTACACGGTGCAGTCAAATCAACCACATCATTGAAACTCCATCCACATACCGTTCGGCGGCCAGATCGGTATGCAGATACTTGGAGCCACTTGTGTGACTACACTGCTCTGATCATTTGTCTGACGAAATTGTGTCTTGGGTAGGTAGCCAAAAATCGAAGAACCGAGCGACGTGCCTTCCCCTTCATGCCAGCCACGGTACGTGATCTAACTTTTCCACAAAAAAGGATGATCCTTAATTGTGTAAAGGTTTGTTTGTATGCTTCTAATCTCGCGAGCTCTACTGCGATGCTGCGCTGTCGAAGCAAAGTTTCTATAAACTCGCGGTTGTGTAGTCAACGTCCACCTCTATCATGACAGCACACACGCCCCCATTCATCCCAATCACAACAACCTGGCCAAAAGCAAGCAAGTCCCCCTCATATCAAACTTCATACACCAACACTCTCATCCATACCCATCCCCTCAAAGCTTCTCAACCAACCTCACATACAAACTCTCCGCCCTCGCCAGCACCACGCCCCCCTCATCCTCAATCCTCGCATCGATCCACCACTTCCTTCCAACAACCCTCGTAACCTCAACGACACACAACACCGTCTGCGGCGTCCTCACGGGCTTCACGTAGGTAACGTTGAGATACGCCGTCATGTACGCCGCGTCGGGGATTAACCCGTTACTCTTGTTAACTGGAAACACGAGCCCAATCGTCTCATCCAGAATCGTGGCGACGATGCCCCCGTGCGAGACGTCCGGGTACCCGTTCACCCCGCTGCGCAGCGTGAGGAGGGCTTTGAGTTGACGGATGATGGTGGGGCCGGCGTCGTCGTCCTTTGGTATGTTTACGGTGGGTGAAGATGTGGGAACTGATGACGACGAAGACGGCCGCTTGTAAAACGTCAGGTACGCGGCAATCGTATCCGCCGTGTTCAGCGTCGTCGAAAACAGCTGGTCCTCTGTATTTTGTTTGGGAAACCGTGAGGGCGCCGTGTCGCGGACCGTGTCTGGTTCATTGAGGTGCGCCGCGCACCAGGGGATGGACAGGAAGTGCTGGACGTCTGGGTTTGCCGACTTCATTGTTGCGGTCTATTGTCTCCTTTCTGATGAGCTTAGAGATTGATGCCTTCTTTCAAGTCTTTGGATTGTTGCCGTATGTGATTATTGCCGTGTGTGACGCGTAAATCAATAGCCCCAATCTCTACGGCGGCGACGTGGTATTGAAGCGAGCGACTTCGGAGTCCAATGATATCGATGGACCTGGGTGATAATGAGCGATGTTCTCAGAGTTCCAGGTTGAGAGCTTCAATTGAGTAGAAAAAGAGCCGAGGTCTTTTTTATCAGATCGGGCCCGTGCGCTGGCCCGCGGCATGTCACCACCTACAGGTAGGTGTGGATAGTCTCATTGGCTTTCGGAGTGGTTGCTACCTACGGGTACACTGCAGGAAACATGGGACGAGCAATAATAGACTCGAAAGTTCCTCATTGGCGGTTTCAACTTCAAAGGTTCAATCAAGAATGATTCGTAGGTTTCTTATGGAGGCTCGGAGCGGCAGTGGCAGGTTCATCCCATGCCTTGATCTGTAACTAAGGTGCTTACTTGCTTACAACCCCCACTGACACATATTGCTTTTGGATATGGATATTCAACAATAATATTACCCTCTCCTCTCTAGAGCATATATCGAAACCCTTCGCTGGCCGTCCGTTTACGGCCTCCAGATCCCACCAAGCCCTCTTCTTCTTCGGCGTCGCTACCGACGGCGCTAGCAGCATCAGTCTTGTGGTTCAAGTAGGAGAGGTAGAACCTCAGAAACAGCGCCAAGACGGCCACGGCGAGCATCGCACCCGCGCAGGCCTGCATCCCAGGCGCATAGAAAGGCGCGTCTCGATCCGGGTATAATCTCGTCCCCACAAGCGGTCCGCATTGCCCGATAATCTGCATCAGGGCGAAACCCCCGCCCTGCCTGCTCTCGGACGCCTGGTTGTTGATGCTCCATGCCACGGTGAGTGTTACGACGTTAAAGAAACCAATGGCTGCCGGATACACCGCGAGATACCGCAGCAGTGGCGAGAGACCGATGGGCTTTGCTAGGGCGAGCGCAGCGTATCCGCCTGCTGATGCGAGAGCGTGCAGTATGATGGGAATGGACCGGGTTCGCGCCCGATCCGATAGATGTGCCGTGAAGAGTACGGCGAGGAAAGCCAGAAAATACGGCGGGGCACTAAGCCTTTGCGATGCGAGGCGAGAGTGGCCCATCTCAGTGAGGATCTTGGGCAGGAATACGGGTAGAGAAGAATACGCCATGTTAGTAAGGAAGAACATGGCTGCGGTCAGCAACGCCATGGGATCGCACAAGACAGCAAACACTTCACCAAGGTTGAGATTGCTGGAACCCTTCCCTCCATGCTTCTTTTGGTGAGGCTTTTCGCGTCGAAGCCGAAGGCGAGCCACCTTTTGCTCCCGCGCAGTGAGATAACGCGCCGTATCCGGGCTATCGGGAATGATGTGCCACGCGGCTACGGCGGCGAGAACGGATGGAAAGCCCTCGACGAGGAACAAGAGACGCCAAGGGGCTATGGGTCCAGCCTCTGCATAGTTGGTGATGAGCCAAGCCAAGGACGATGCGAATGTTGTTGCTAACGGCGCGGCTGCTCATCATCAGTCGGTTGGAACGGTCGTTGGGAATGTTTGAATACTGACCAGAGATAAAGATAGCGGTACGAAACGCTAGTTCCTCTCGTTTGAAGAAGAAAGATAGGTAGAACGGTATGCCTGTGAAGCCGGCCTCTCCAATGCCCAGCAACACCCGAAGGAAGATGAGCGTAGGGTACGAGACAGAGACGGACTGCAGCGAGGCAGTCAGTCCCCACGAGAGGACAATCATGGAGACGTATATGTGGGCAGGGATGAGCTTCCATAACAGTGACATCCACTCAAAGAAGATATACGAGATATAGAAGGCTGTCAATGTCCACTCATACCAGCCGTCCCACGGAGGATTCGTTTGCAGATCCTCGTCCATGCCCGCTATGCGCGCATTACCAATATCTAGAGAGGAGGGGCTGTCAGTAGGTTGCAAGATCACATGGCCGCGGCTCAGAGTATGCCATACTAGATCGATCCAAGAAACTGAGCATAAACAGCAGTGCTACAAAGATTACCAGCTTTCGGTCGTGCTTGCGCACAACAGAACTCTCCTCGTCAGGAGTGTAAAGCTGAAAGCTCGCGACGGTGCTGGTGCTAGCTCTTCTCCGCAGCGACGGCACTTCATCGCCCCATCCGTCGTCAGTAATCTTTGCGGGTGGTGCCCTTAGGCTTTTCAGCTCGTAGGCCTGGCCGCCGCCAAGCCGTGCCTCATGCAAATGCAAGTCCTCGGCATCATCGTCGTCGTCGTCGTCAGGGTCGAAATCGAGATCGCTGTCGAGACTGAACTCGGCCGTGGTCTGCGCAAATGACGGTGACGCTTCACCGGAGCGATTTGAACGGCTAGGTGTCTGAAGCCTCGAGGATTCGGCCATTACCACAGGGAGGGGAACGTCATGCGCCCCGTGAGAGTCGAGGACACACGGTCACCTGGGAGAACGGTCTGCAGGCAAGAGCTATCTAAGTCATGGAATTGGATGCTGTGCAGATGTTTGGCTTGCAGGCCGTAGTCCGCGATAAATGCTGGTCTTCGTTCCGCCGCATTGAAGGTGGGCGTTGCCGACGGAGCTAGCTTGAGATTGGTGTCTTGGAAGAGCGAGCTGGGCGTGCTGCTGCTGAAATACGTGGAACGGTGGAAGGATGCTCGAGAGAGGTCCCACGACCAGTGACGTACCTTGGCAAGCTAACCCCTGCTCTACTCTAGCTGTTAGTAAAAGGGAAAGCTGGGGATCCTCCAAGGTGTCATTGCGGCTGGGTTTAGCGGATTGCGGGTTACGGGTGACGGGACGATGTGCGGCAAGATATTGCAGCAAACAGGGTTAAAAGATGAAGACTCTGATAATCTCCCTTCCTCTCTCTTCATACTCTGCTTGTCTGTTTTCAATAAAGTAGTCAATTATACAAGCAAACGCCTTCGCTTTGAAACCGTGTCTACTACAATGCCGCGTGGGCGTGCGGCTGATTCGCTTAAAATGGAGGATGCCGTGGCGTGTCGTACCCAGACAGCACACGGTACAGTGGTACAAATACAGGCTCAGGTCGTGGAGAGCTGCCTCAAAGACGCTCTCCATTGAGCGTCTAATAAATGTCATAGATCATGGTCCTTCTTCCCGAATATTCTTCCCAGGCCGCCGCTCTATGGATCATCGCCCTTCTTCCCGAATAATCTTCGGAAGCCGCCACCCTTGGGTGTCTTTGGCCTAAAGTCCATTGAAGGTTTGCTTTGTAGTGTTGGCGTCTCCTTTTCCGTCCAATTGCCAACCATGTTGGGATGTTGGGGAAGCGTGCCGTAAGGCAGACCCGCCTCCTTTGGTGAGAGCTGTTGCGGCGACATGGCTGTTGCGAACTGACTCGCTGGTACGCTCGACATGTACTCACGGGGTGATGCCCCTCCTCTCGATGTTGAAGGGCCTGCACTGCGGTCGCGGGGCCGGGGTGTCGCGTTGTCAGCCTCCCTTTCCAACTCCTCCTGTTCCGCCCTTGCCGCACCCATGTCTTCAGGGAAATCGCGCACCTCATCGCCGCAAACCACAATGTACCAGCGAATATCCTCCCCGCGTTGAAGTTGATCTCTCAGCTTCTCGAACCAGCCAGCCTTCTTCCCTGACGAGCTCTTCTTGGCCTTGTAGAATTCATCGCTAGGGGCGCTAGCCATCGCCTTGGTCTCGCTCAATCGTTCTTCGTACCGCATGATCTCCTCCGTTATTGAGTTGCTGAGATCAATGCGTACTACGTGGTCGGCAACATATGCGTAGGGACGGCTGACATAGCTCAGGTCAGTCGGGTCATATTCCTCGAGCAGCTTGACAGCACTCCAATCGTTCTGCAGGACGTCATCCTCCTCTGGCGGCACGGTCGAGGCTGGGACATCGTATTCGTTGCGCAGTGCGGCGGCTTTGGATGCCTTGGACTTGTTGCGCTTCTTCTTGTCACGTTGGGCCTCGGTTTCGTCGGGTATGGGCTCGGGAAGGAAATCGAAGAGAGAGTAGAAGGACTCGAGGATGGCAGGAGACGAGTTTGGCGCAATGATCCATTCGGGGGCAGCATCGTCGATGTTCTGGACGACGACAAAGACGCGGATGCTTCGACGGTCCCAACGAAAACCGTGGCATAGGTAGGTAGGCATTGTGGGTAGTCGCGATAAAGCTTGGGACGGGCGGGGAGGGGTTGTGGAAGATAGGACGAAGTGGTATGTGGCGGGGCCTAAGCAGGTAGCTCAGGGGGAGACGGGAACGATAACGAGCGTAGATCGGTGGAGAGCTCCGAGCTGGGGGCGGATGAGAGCTTCTATGTGCCAAAGTCGAGATCGAGTGTCGTCGCTTGCTCGAGTTTGTCGTCGTTCAGCGGCGTCGGGAGTGAGAGACGTGTTGTTGGCTGAGGTGAGCAGTTTGGACGAATTAGACAGCCCAAACCCGCCAGAGAGGCGGAAGAGGCGTAGCGGGTGATGGGTGTCGTACGTCCTATCGAGAGGAGAGGCGCGTCAGGGAGTACAAAACCCGAGACGGGGTCGAGCCAAAGTTGGAGATGGGAGAAGCTGGCTGAAAGACAGATAGGGGTCAGGTGTTGTGAATTGCCGGTTCGACGGTGAGTTGAACGGCACGCAATGCATTATTCGAGCTGTAGTCGAGGAAACATAGCTTGTCGCATCGCACGCTGGGCTGCGGCGCACCTGACGCCCAACGAAATGTTGCTCCTGGGGGGGGGGGGGCCAAACAACGACTGGGGATGTCGAAAGCGGCGTAGCCTGTTGGAAGGTGAAATTGGAAAGGCAAAGTGTGAGTGGCCACAAGTCAATGTATAAAGTGCAAATCGGGGCGGGAAAAGCAAGAAAAGAAAGGCAAGATCAGGCCAGGCGAAGAGACAGCGAGGGGTGAGAGAGAGGAATGTCGAGAAGTGAGAAGGGAAGCTGAAGGTGACTGGACTGGGGAGCTGCGGTGCTGGAGGGAAGGAAGGGACGGGAAAGAAAATATGCCAATAAGAAATGGCCGCTCAGGATCTGGCAGGCGCCACCACCCGGGACGTGTGGCCGGGAGAGACAGAGCTCTTCCACTGAGGTGCGTGCCTTCTAGGATCGCAGGTTGGCTGTTGTCTGTGGCTTTTCCTACCTTACACAGTAAAGTGTCTGATTCTTCGAAGAGCCTTCCTTGCCTCCGTTCCCTCACTGGAGGCTCAAGATTCTGGGGCTGTCTGTGCTCCGATGGAGATCATGGGGGCTTAGCCACGGCCATGAGTGCCATGGTCCATGGAACACGGGAACAGGCCTTGTTCTGGACACTGAAGACTGCTAGTGCTTCGCTTTCGAGTGCATCAGATGTTACTATTCTCGTGGCCATCCGCCTCGGTTCAACTCGATCTCAACTCGATCGACAGTAAACCAAAGTATATGCCAGCAACCCATCCTCGAGACCCGGTGCCTTACCTTGTATATTCTCAGTACGGATAGAGACAGACACAATATGGAAGATCTTCACAGCAATACCTACGGAAAGCTATGACATGCATGAAACTAGGACCCCGGAGCTGTTTCCCGACCCTGAATCCCCCTTCCAGTCGCAGGCAATTGCTGGCTTTAGGTAAGCAATTAAGGCCCACCCGGCATGCTACCTCACTCTGCGTTCCATTCTTGTGACTTGCGGCTTGCCTCAATTCCGAGCTGAACCTAGATTGCTTTTGTCAGTTGCAACCGAGGTTTGAGTTGAATTATCTGCAGGTACGGTGCACTACTAGTTGTCTTCCTTCCTTGGGATCCAACTCAAGTTGTTGAGACGACCACTATAATACGGCGTTTACGAAACCGAGACTCTATAACCGGCGTCAACAAAGCCATCAATCTTAGCTTTGCAATCCATCTCAACACAGACAAGATAATTGATAACCTTTGACACAATTTCCAACCTCTGCCCAACTTACGAGGCACTCCAGAAAAGCTGCAAAAGCACTCGCATCCAAACCCAATCCACCGGCGGCCAATCAACAGCCATGACATAATTTGAGATTCGCGAATGGGGGCATACGTGTTCAGCACAACTCTACTGACGGCACCGGGTTTCAAGCCGTCTTGAAACTGGGCAGAGGTAACTAGAAAGCTTAATCCCTGCGCCCGGCAGCAGTCCAGAGGAAGACGTCCCGAAGCATTCGTATCCAAAGTTCGAACAGGCGGGGTAACAAACGCAGTCTCGCCTTGTCAAGTTACTGTCTTGTCTGTCTTGCGCGCCGCGTTCCCGACGACAGAAAACTGTCAAGAAGCCTGGCTGACATTTCATCCCTCCCGGCCCGAAGCTCACATGCGGCTGCGGCATCGCGCGCACAGTCTCAACAATGCTCGGGTGTTGTAACAAGATCGCGGGGTAAACTGGCCTTTGGCATGTAGTGGTGTGTCCCATCATTAGCGGCAATGATGACTGAACACCAAGGTGCCATGTCTTGATCTGCTACATGGATGCTAGTTTACTTCATCGTAGCTTTCATCCCATCATTCGGTGTGCCGATCACCAAAGAGTACCACACCCCACAAACGCCGCTCCGAGCAGCATCAACATACTCGAAGCTACACTAGTCGCCGCACCCGATGCCGCACCAGTCGCCGCCGTGCCTGTTGCCGTACCACTTGCCGCACCTGTCGCCAAACCCGTTCCCGTTACCGCATCCGTTCCCGTATTAGTTGCGGCACCTGTCTCCGCAGGCAACGACGAACTTGAGCTCTCTGTGGCAAGAGAACCGGTGTAAGGCGAAGGGCTTGTGAATGTGAAGGGCGAACACGTTCCGGTCGCACTACGAGAACTCATCATAGACATCAGAGACGAAGCTTCCCAAGCCCCAACGTACTCGGATTCCGTGAGTATCCGGTGGACCGCCTCGACCTTCTCCAATCCTGCAGTAATGGCCACAACAACAGAGCGCGCCTCCACAAAGCATGTGTTGACGGCGAGCTCCTCATCCATGGTCCCGGTGCTGAGCGAAGGGGTCGACGTTGATACATGGCACCGTCCGTACTGATCTGAAATCACAGGACGGCTGCCACTCCCGAGCCGGCAGTCCCAATATTTAACGATGCCGGACGTGGCCGTATTGCTTCCGGCCCAGCTGGAGCCCTCGATGTGGGTGATGTTGGCCGGCCAGTAACCCTCCTTTTGGCAGGCTGCATCGGCCGTTGGGCACACGACTTGGTATGTTGCCGTCTCACGCTCGTACGCAACGATAGATGCTTCGAGACTCCCAGTCGGATGAGTGTCATAGATGAAGAAAGGTCTAGCGGATGATGTAACTCGAGGAGCGTTTACGCTGGAGGTCGATGTTGCGATCGTTTGCGCGTTGGTGAGAGCCCACATCGCCGAAACGGCGGAAAGAATTGACGGCGTCTTCATCGCTAACAAAAGATTGCTCAGAGTGTGAAGTTTGATGGGGTTCTAGGAGCCGTGTGGAGGCACTTGGAAGTTGCAGGCGTTGTTCTTTCACATAGTAAGCTAAGTTCAGAGCGACGAATCGGCCCCCTTTTAAACAACTTTTCGATGAAGCTTGGCAAAACTGTTGGTTGTGACTTCAGTGAAGTCTGCCTTGAACCAACGGGGGTCGTGAACCGAAAGGGACTTCTGTGCGGAGGAGGGTATTCTTCCAGCCATTGGGAAGACTGTGCCTGACATGGGCCCAATGTAGAGGTGCAGGACCAAGAGCTTAATTGAAATATGCTCATGGGTCCGGTGGTGAAGGAACAAATCCCAGAAGTGCATATTGATGTTGAGGTCATTCTGGCTGATCTCACGATACCAGCTTCAAAAGACGCTGGCAAGAACATCCGTATTGACCCAACTTGCGACTTGCAATGTCGGATGCAGACAATTCTAATCTCGATGACTCTGGAAGAAAATGGTCATCACCAAATGATACTCTAAGCACTTACTTAGTGGTGAAGGGGTGAATGTGTTCCTGCTAGATCCGTGGCTGCTTGTGCCGCTCAAGCTCGCCTGGGACGTTCAGGGGAATTCCCTTAGATGAGCTCGTCTAGACCTTTTGAAAAAGCTGGACAGGGCAGATACCAATAACAATAGGAACAATGCCTCTCATTCCCTCGCGGCACAGCCTCTGCTGTTGCTGCTGTGCCGCAGGATTACGAGAAATGAGGACGGCTCGTCACATGGGCTTGCTCACATCAAAACGAGGTGAAATCACCCTTTTATTATATCTTGGGAGTAAAGTTGCTCTCGGCTGGATTGAGCCATGGGCCGAGCTCCGATGAGCAAAGGTCTTTCATAAAAACTAAACAAGATTGACGGGACTCCCTCTCGGCGAAGACAATCCTTCTTCCCCGATCCGATACGGATGTTGAAAATACCTATGATTAGTGATTCTCCTCTGTTCTGTTGGCGAAATTGTGGTCTGCCTGGCGGTTACTAACCCCAGCAGCTCCTCGGGAAGGTGATTGGACGGCTGCTTCGTACGGCTGAAAGAAGCTTAGTCGGGCCGCCGGGGGTTATCCCGCTAGAGGCGCAGCCTCGGCCAGGGAGTGGGATGAAGCTCAGGCCAATCTCCCAGGGCCTTCCCAGAACAGAAGCTTTTTCCTGCTCTTGGATTCTTTGATTGTCCATCCATCGTATTTCTCTTTCCCACAGACCGCTCAGAGTTGTGTCTTGAAGAGAATATGGATGCCTGCCGGTTCATCAGCAACGTCTGTCAACGAAAAAAGATTCGGTTAAAGACCGATCTAGACATGTTCAAGACTCGAACTTCTAAGCACTGCCTGCGGGCGTTGATGGACCATACCACCCCAGTCCAGGTCGGCGACTACAGGGTATCGTGTGTTGATCTTCTTCCCCTTTCAAACTTTCTGCATCTTACCGCAAGACGCTGAGCAGAAACCTCCATCTTTTGATTTCGGAGTTCTTCAACATCCGGAAGAAAGCCTGTGGGTGATAACCCCACAACTACGGAGTACACAGTTCCACCCTTTCGCCCAGAGATAGAGATGAAGATAGCCTTTCATCTCCTCTCCCCCTCTGTCTCCACAACGATCGTGGCCACCACACACCAGTGACCACACACACCAACCAGCCTGGCAACGGGAGCGCCCATGCTCACGAGAAGCGCGAGTTCCTGAGCAAACGGGAGAACGAGGCAGCCCAGCGGTCCAGCCCAGGAGAGGATAGAGATGGTGGTGCGGCGCGCGGCGTGCGGCGTCCATCCACGGGAAGGGCTTGCCGCTTCAGCCCTCTTGCTAAAAACAATCCCAGACGCAGTAAGGCGTTGCAACGGCGCGGTTGACTACGTTTGCTAGCTCGTCCCTTTCATTCAACCTTCTAATCCTGGACCCTTTGCTGGCGTTTACCTTACCTTATAGTCATACGGATACCCGTTTTGGAGAAACAATTGGCTTTTCGTTGACGAAATGAACCTCAGATCTGGCGACCATCGACAATTGAGAATGTGCGGAATCACGGATACGCTCAGCGTTGCAATAGGCAATCAACTGTAACCTCACAAATTCAGCCCGCAGGGCCCGCCGTTCCCACAAACCCTGTTATTGGGTAAGTCGAACGTGGTAGCAATGTAGCATCCATGGGTGGCCCTTGTCAAACTGTGTCCCACTGCTGGTAAGCACTAGCAACCCAGAGAGCAGAATGTCGTGATGCTCATTACTGAGTTGGCAATCTCTTCGCTTTGCCAACTTTGACTATACTGCCTCATTGGTTCCTTTCCGCGGATCGTATTGCTCGAGGAAATCATTGATGCCAATCCATGAGGCAATAGTCCTTTTGAGGCAAATTTGTTTCCCTTCTTGAGAGGAGGGCTTGATAGATATCTTCTGCCCATTTCGTACCCGACTAAAAGAAGCGCAAAAGAGCTGCCTGGGGCGATCCGCTCGCCTGCATGGTATCATTAACGCTTGTCTCTCCCGCAGAAGACGTATCCGATGCCAGGACACTTTGTGGCCAGAAATCACTAACATGTGTCTTTGCTGCGCCGAGGTCTCGCATCCCAAGTCCTCCAAGGGGCAACGGCGCACAAACGCTCATGTCAAGCTTTCGTGGCTGGGCCTTGCGCGACTTTGGGTGTGCCCCTCGCGGCTAACCCATGCGAAGGAAGCGCCAACTGGGAACCTGTTTTACACATTACACACTGCGGATACAAGCTTCGTTTCTTTCCGCCCAAAATCCCACGAACCACGGCAAATTTGAGGAGGAGAGAACTTAGCGCCCACGTAGGCAACTGGAACCCTGCAAAGCCTCAGCCCGCCAGCTCCATCACCAATGGTGGTTGGTCCCAGTCTGAAGTTTCTTCTTCCTCACGTTCTTCTTCTTGTCTTTCGCCCGTCAGCCATCCACCGGTGCCCGCAGTGGTGGTGGTCTCGACCCCGTTCTTCGGGACCCCTGCAATATCCATCTTCTTACGCGAGTGTGTGGTCGATTCAAGGATTGGATCCGGCGACCCGTGCTGGCCCCCCTCTACTAGTGTAGCAAGCTAGCCATGCCATGCCCTGCTCACTCTCACAGTCTCACTCTCACTCTCATCACTCCACGGGTACTCTTCGCCCAGACATTGAAGAAAGTTCAACCATCAGCCCAAAGGATGGGTAACATGGGGACCATTGCCTGGGGTCAGATTTTACTGCAACGCTAGACTAACATGTCTTCCTACCCGTGGCCACTCCAGCTCCTTCGTTGATCTACCTCCTGCTCCTCACTCCTCCTTCTCGATCCCAGCGCATGCTTCTCCCGTCCCGCACCTTGTCCAATCCTTCCGGCTCTTTTCTGGTGCCTGTCTGCCTGTCTCTCTCTCTCTGCCTCTTATGAGTACGGTCAAGTACTTAAAAATGGCTCCCAGGGTAAGTTCCCCGCTTGGTTGCTTTCCCTTCCTCTTGGCTCTCCTTTCTCTCGGTTTTCCCCATCTCTTTGGTTCTTCACAGCTTCACCAAAGATCTTCACCAACGATCAAATTCGATCCACCGAAAACTGATCATGGCTACAACACAGCATCAGTACGATGAAGGCCCGGAGCTGGCACCTCAGCATCAGTACCCCGAGGTCTACCACCCGCCTCCCCAGCAGTCGTACTCGGCCTCGCCACAGCCGGAACCCGTGACGCCGATGAAGCAGGAGGGCTCGACGTACGGTTACCCGGCGTCCGGCGTCGACCAGTCCGTCTACGGCGGCAACCAGTACCAGAACGCTGCTGGAGAGACCGGCGCCGCGCCCCAGAAGAACAGAAAGACCGTCTGCGGCTGCACGTTCCTCGTCTTCCTCCTCTCCGTCATCATCGCCGTCTTGGCGGCCGCCGTCATCGGTCTGGCGGCGGGCACCGGCGTCGAGGCGAGCCGGGCCAACAACGCGATCCAGGAGCTGGCGGCCATGTCAGCGTCGGCGACGAGCGGCGGGACGACGGCGACGACGACGGTGACGGTGACGAGCGCATCGGCGACGGCTACGGGTTTCAACGCCCTGACCAACGGCTGCACCGACTCGAGCGAGACGACGACCGGCCAGACGTACACGACTGACTTTTTCGGCAAGAAGACGTTCACCATGTACTGTAAGTAAAACCCTGAGAGATCCATCTCACTTTTGCGCATTGCTGACATACCACCTCAAAAGGCAACAAAAACGCACCCAACTCGCCGTTGATGTCACTCTTCACGGCAAACTTTGACAACTGCATGGACGCCTGCGCGTCCTTCACAAACTACGAGCCCGGGTTCGAGGGCAACGCGTCATGCACGGGTGTCAGCTTCATCCCGCTGTGGACGACGAGGGCGGGCGCCGTCGAGGGCAAGGCGCCGGGCAACTGCTACCTCAAGCCGGGGAACCAGACCAAGGGGAACTTGGAGACGCCGAATATCGGGACCGAATGCCACGCCGCCATCATGAGCTGATTTTTGGTCTCTCTCTCTCTCTTTCTCTCTATTAAAGCATAATGAGAGTTCAAGACCTCAGTTGTAATTTGGGATGGCGTGGCGCGGGGCGTGTTTTTCTCTTCACTCTATATACCACTTGTTTGGAAGAAATATTATGTGTACTATGTGAACACAATTTTGGGGCGTCAAAAGGATATATAAAGCACATGGACAGGGCAAAGATATCTGCCTGGAAAGTCAAATGGCATATGAGAGAATTCTTCCTTTCAGTTTCTGTGTCTCCCGCGATGCCTTACATGCAACAGCATTATCTCACGCCTCAGTTGGGCTGGTGGGGGCACTGATACAGGTGATGCGATGAGGGAAAAGTGATGCTTCAGTCTGTGACGAGGATATCTCCAAGTGTCCAAGTATTCGACGCAACTGGTTAAATGAGAGCGAGTGAGAAGCAAGACGTGAGATTGTGGTTGTCGAGAATGAGGAGTGGTGAGATTTCGATACGGCTCAGACCGGGCTTTCAGACGCGAATTCAGAACGAGGTCAGTGGGAAGCCAGAAGCCGCCACTAAAGATGTAGCAACTTGGATACCGCGGAATCAGCCTGCGAGTCTGTAAACATGTGGTAGCTGAGGTATATGAGGCAGGTGATTGCGGACTTTGTGAGGAGGCTACGACCCGTAGCTTTTTAGCGCATCTCATCACGACGAAGAAGACGATAACTTCACAAACTCCAATCAGTGGATTTGGTACAGTGATAGATTTAGTAGGAAGAGTTCCCGCACCTTTTACTTACGAACTTGTGAGGTCCTGATGTCCTCCAACCGGTAAACTTACTGCTATCAGAACTAGTCAGCGAGAAGAGGCTCATTCACAACATTCAATGTTGATTACTCCATTAATTCAGATGCGTGGCCGAGCCAAGGACGACCTAGAAATTCCTTGATGAATTCAAAACGCGATTAGAACTAAGTTCATCACCCACATCATCCGATTCAGTTACTTTGTGGCCGTGGCTTCGAATCAAGGCGCGCCAATAGTGGCCTCCATGATGACTGCGGGCCGGTACATCATGGTGCGTATCCCATATTCTTTTGCCTTCATTGTTTAGAAGTGAAATCTTTTACATCTTAATTCTGGAGTCCAATTTGCCCACGATTCCTTATTGCTTCGTGGTTCTGGACTGACATTACTATATCGAGTTGAGCGCCAGCCTGGAGCATAGCATGAGCACTGGGTAGTCAAATTGTGTACAGTATCGTGTGATTTTCCTTGAAAGCCATATCCCGTTGAGGTCGATCTTTTGCGCCCGTATTGCCGGAAAACCCATGTCTTCATTTTGGAGTTGATGGTTTCTTGCTGCGTGGTCGCTCTTATTCCAGACCCTTCATCGGACGCTATCCCTCGCCATTCCTTCTCGAGCAGCTGAGACCCTAACTTGGCTATCTCGTGAGCGAATGAGGACAGACATTCCACTTAGTTTGCATGTGAGAAGCGCACTCACTCGAGCTAAGCATTGAGTGTTGCTGGAATGGGAGTGGCACTTGCCCGTGTTAGAACAGCCCGACAAGGGTCCAGCAAATATTTCCCCATCGGCAGGTGATAGTGCGATTCGCACGCAGACGAGCTGAACCAGACCCCCGGTATGGCCGGTCTCAGACTCTCAGCTCAGGTCGACATTGACGTGTAAAGGCTTCATCAGCTTCAACGCAAGCCGCCACTGAAAGGTCTAGATTCAATCGTAAAAAAGGAGAAAACGAATTGCAGATTGGTACTTGACTAATTGCATTTCGCAAGCCAACTCATAATGGACATAAAACGACGCCTAGATCCCTCGACAAACTCACCCATCAGACGGTTCAAGCATCAATCCTCCTTCTTATCGCATCTACAGATACCGTTGTCGAAACTTCATCATGGTTGGATCACCTGCCACAAGACATCCTAATGGAGCCCGCCTCCTTGCCCTCGACGGAGGCGGCGTCCGTGGTGTCGTCTCCCTCATGATTCTACAGGAACTCATGCGCCGGGTCCAAGTGAGAAAGAAGCTGGAAAAGGAGCCCCTCCCCGTGGATTACTTTGAGCTCGCAGCCGGAACCAGCACGGGTGGCATCATCGGCATCATGCTGTTCCGACTTCGCATGACGGCCACCGAGGCCATTGCGCAGTACGACATCATTGCCACGGACGTCTTCAAGCCCAAGATCTATGGCTGGAGCATTGGGTTCCTCGGAGATACGCTCTCGTCCTGGGTTAACAATAGCAAGACCGTGGTGCAGAGTAGTCGTTTTGACGACGCGTCCTTGATCGCCGCCATCAACAGAGTTGTAGATGAACGTGGTTTGGACAAGGACGACAAGCGGTTGAAGGGAGAGGCTCTGCTTCAACATCCAGCAGCCGGCAAGTTGTAAGTCGATCAAAACCCTCATAACCCCTCAGACTACGTCAAGATTCTAACGTTTGAAACCAAGGCTTGTATGCACAACGGCCCAAAACAGAGGCGAAACGGTTTTGATGAAGACGTACAAGAACACCAACGTGTACACCAGCTCGACCGTAAACAACCTTATGAAGAGCCACGGAAACGAGATCACAATGAGTCTCGCGACGAGGGCAACCTCTGCCGCCCCGACATACTTCCCCGAAGTCAAGTGGCCCGCGGGCGCAGAGAAGCCGCTCACATTCTGGGACGGAGGACTTTTGAACAACAACCCCATCGATCAGCTGTGGAACGCGCGGTACGACCTCGTCCAGCCGGGCGAAGCACAAGAAGGTGTCGAGGAGCCCAAGATCTCGTGTGTGATCAGTCTCGGTACGGGATACAACAAGACCGAGTCTCCCAACGACTCTTGGTTCCGTCTCACGGGGGTCGCGGCGACGGTGATGGCTTTCGCTACCAACACGGAGGCCAAGGGTAAGGACTTTTCGAGGCACATGGCGGCGCTCAACGGTAGGCAAAAGGGCCCTAAGACGGCGTATATTAGGTTCAACCCGACGCTCGGGGAGAACAAGATTGGTCTGGCGGACTACACGCAGATGCCGCTGCTGAAGGAGCTTGCCACGAAGTACATCAAGCAAGCCTCTGGCAATGAATATTTTGAGAAAGCGGTTGACGCGATTTGCTGTTAGAGTTGGCCTGTAAAGACATGAAAACACTTTCCAAAGCCTTGATATCAAATCATTTCCCTGCGTATTGTGTTCTGTTAGTTGAACCCATGTCTGAGTCACTGCTGCAAGTTGACGGTTAAATCAACTTGGAGATACCTCGGCCTGGCCTGATCAATTCTTCCTTAGAATCGCCGGTCTCGCTTCCTCCTCGATGAAGTCCAAGGGGACCCCATGGGGCAATCGCGATCCTGCCAAAACTTGATGTTCAATCTTGAAAATCCTTCCGGCCAAGTTATCCACTTCAAACCGCTACAGACCGATGGAAGCCATCTTCGGTCGGCTGAAGGGTCCTCACGCCGTCCGATTTCTGATAAGCTTTGACCCCAACAGCCCTCCGACCTCGCAGCCGCAATTGACAAAGGGTCCTAACAAGCGCCTTTGTTCGAGGCTCCGAGGTTTTCCTCGTACGGCAGTGGGGTCCGGAGTGGGTGAGGAACCCGGGTCTAGCGCACGCCGAGAACTTGAACCGACGGAATGGGTGAGTGGTCGTTTCGCATCTCGAACTTCTCGACTCATCCCCAGGCCGGGGGAGCGGTCAGCGGTCGTCGGGGTGCGGCTGGCGGGGGGGTGGGCGGGCTTGCGAGTTGCAACCAAGCATTTTTCATGTCCACTTGGACATGGGAGAGCCGCGGAGAAACCGTCGCGGGGAGCCTGGGAACAGAACGCGGAATCGGCTTCGGCTTGAGACCGCACCTCGCTCTCATACCAAGTCTAATGGTGTCGGTCGTGATTGCCAAAAGTACCTGATAGTGGAAAGTCGCCTTTTCCTCCTTTGACCAGCTAATTACTGCTGGCTGGGTAGATCCCATCTCTGCTCAGAGATTTCACAAGATGAACCTCTGTCATGGTCATATACCTCGACTCTGCTTCGACCTTGACTCACAAGTCTACCAGCCGACGTAACGACGTTAAAAGAAATCGTTATAACTGGGTGTAAGACGGGAATGCGAGTCCCTACGCCCTTGGGTCCTCCAAAAGCCAAGGCCGGCGCAGTTGCTCGTGGCTTGAAGTGTGGTTTTCTGGGTGGGTGGCTGCAGAAGGCGGGTCAATTATTAATACAGGTTACACAGGACCATGTTGAGAAGGACAACATTGGCTGAACAGCCTGGGTAGAAACACCCCGTAGGTTGGCTATAGTGTTTAGCTTAATCGTTCTTGGTGTGAACGGCCTCACCGTCAGACGGACATGTTCAGCACCCCCATTGACTAGTAGCGGAACATACCATGAGATGGGTAGGCTGCGGAGTAACCTACTGCAGGCAAAGTTGCCAAATAGAAGACCGAACCAATGCTGTGATCTTCAGCTTATCGGCTGAGGGCGACGAGCCCATTGCATCCTTTGCAACCACCTCAGCCTTCTGAAATGTAGAAACAGCATGATGGTTCTAGAAAGTACCCTGCAAATTGCCTTGTCATGCTGTATCCGTATGCGTCCTAGTACCAAAGTTCCCAAGGGGTCTGTTGTGCTCGTACTTACGATAACAACATCCTCCTCTTGTATCGATTGGCGACGATAAGTGAGTCTACACAACTTGAGACTAAAGGGACAGTATACTCGGGAGCATGCTATCTTAAGAATGTTTTTATCTTGGCTTAATTCCCACGATGACATGAGGAGCCGCCGGCCAACTGACGGCGCCCTATCTCAGCTACTACTGCTTACACTCCGCATCCCCTCCGCTAGAACGCGAACCAGCCTTTCCTATACGCAGACACACAAGGAAGACGCCAGCGCAAGCGCAGACTCGTACGCAGTAGAGATGTGGGGTGTGATTCCTCCCCCCCGTCCGAAGGGTGTGCATAGTAAACTTGTCAAAAGACATGCGACTTGCGCCCTTCTGATGACACGACCCATTGTAATCCCGGTCTGGCGAGCCAACCATTGGTGACTCCGACTTGGACGCTTCCTCGAACGCCAGAATCCATCTGGCTTGATCCGATCTACTGAGCGAGGAGGATAGTCCTTTTGAATAAAAGATTTCGTCGCCTGGAACTCGTCCGTCCCGACTTGTACCCTTTTCTTTCTTATACCCTTTTCTCGATTTGCCTCCGTGGGACTTTTGGATTTGTCACAAACTCCAAAGAGCCCGGGCCTAATCACCATCTCGACCGTTCTTGGTTGTCAACTTGTCGTTCAGGAAGATTACACGGAGCGGGGCTCACCGACGCCCTTCCGGTCTCTTTGACGACTGACAAGCACCATCGACATCAACGCGATACATTGGAGCACCACTACGCCCTATCGATCTGCAATCCCATCTGCAGAAGATCTCGCCCATGCCAATCACGCCCTTCGGGAAGTTTTTCAAATCAGTCCGCGCCCTTCATTAAGGGCCAGTCAATACAATGACAACCATCCCCGAGGACACGGGCATGGACGAATTCGTCAACTGGGAGGCTGCCGCTACCGAGGTGGGCAACATCTTCAACATGCCCACTCAGGACGTGCCACCCACCGATCCCAATCTGGACCTGGTTTTGGAGAATGCCGACGACGACGACTTTGGGTTCGTCGCCCTGGAGCATTTTTCTGGGGATCTTGCACCACCAGGAGCTGGTCTGACTGATGGCAACCCCCTCGAACTGATTGACACACAACTCTCCAGCGCCCAGGAGGACTGGTGGTTCGCTCCCGAAACGCCATGCAACAATTGCATCCTCGGTGGCTATTCGTGCAAACAGATCAAGGAGGGAAAGTTCAAGTCGTACTGTACCTCCTGTGTTGCTCTTCGGAGCGAATGCAGCTTGGCTGAGCACTTGCCTGGCGGTCTGGCCGACCTCGACACATCTGATGCCATCCCTTCCCAAAACCCCTGGCCCATCATGGGCGACCATCCCCGCGCCGTTCAAGAAGATGACCACATGGACCTCCTGTCATCTCTGAACGCTTGGCCGGCGATGGGTGATCATTCCCGTGGCACACTCGAGGACAATGTTCTCGCTGCTGGTCTGCCCGGGACATCGACACCAGACCTACTTAGAGGGATGACCGCCTCAGCCGATCAGCCTGCCTTGGAGATTGCCCAGTCCAAAACGGCTACTCCGGCCAAAGTTGGCGCTCGTTTCTCCCGCGAGTCTGTCCGTATCCTGAAGAACTGGCTTTCCACCCACACACGTCACCCCTATCCGAGTGACGAAGAGAAAGAGATGCTTCAGCGCCAGACTGGCCTCAACAAAACCCAGATCACCAACTGGCTTGCCAATGCCCGTCGCAGGGGTAAAACGCAAGCTCCTCGCTCTACTTCTCCTCACCCGCGCAGCTACAGCGGTGCCATTGACATTCCTCAGAGACGAGGAACTCCGGCGCCGGACGGCAGAGTGCGCAACATGAATCCCTTGGAGCGTTGGGTTGACTCTCCGCCCGAAAACGAACCCGCTACTGTCTCTGCCATTGCTTTGGCCGTTGCGTCTAGTTCCAGAACCTCATCATCAGGTATGACCCTTCCCATTTGACTGATTACCATCATGAGGCTAATCTCCTTCTAGGTCTTACGAGCCCGTACAGCTTCAACTTTACCGACGACGGATCAGGCAAATCCCTCTGCAATGCTTCCTCGGCCAGTTCTCTCGGAACCTCTCACGGTACCTCCCACTCTAGCGGTGGCTCCTTCGCCTCTGCCTACTCCCATGCCTCCCGTGGCTCATTCGGGTCCTTTGGGTCCTTCAACCGCGGTCGCAGGCGTCGCAGAAGGCGAGTCGGCACCAAGGTTGAAGAGAAGACTGCCCTGGCTGCTCCTCCCAAAACCTTCCAATGTACATTCTGTACCGAAAGTTTCAGGACCAAGCACGACTGGCAACGGCACGAGAAGTCTCTCCATCTTTCCCTTGAAAGGTGGGTGTGTGCTCCAGATGGGCCTGTAGCAGTCAACCCGGCGACAAATCAGCTCGCCTGTGTATTCTGTGGTGAGGCCAATCCCGACAAAGCCCATGTTGAGAGCCACAACCATTCCGCGTGCCAGGAGCGGCTGCTCCAAGAGAGATGCTTCTACCGGAAGGATCACCTGAATCAACACTTGCGGCTCGTCCACGACTGCAAGTTTGTCGATTGGTCCATGAAGGCCTGGAAGGTCGCCACACCAGAGATCCGGTCACGATGCGGTTTCTGCGGCGTGGTCTTGGACAGCTGGGGTTCGCGAGTGGAACACATTGCCAATCATTACCGTAGTGACGGAAATACTATGGCGGACTGGAAGGGTGACTGGGGTTTTGAAGCACCGGTGCTCGAGATGGTCGAGAACTCGATCCCGCCATGTATGCACCGACCCCTAAGCTATCCCGTAGACAAGCTCCCAAAGTCTAACTTGTGGTAATACAGATCTCATTGACAATGAGCGCAACTCGCCCTATCCGTACAAAGCCAGTGGAGCCCCAGCCGAGACCCCTCGCAACGCGTACGAGCTGATCAAAATCGAGCTGGCATACTTTATGCAGAACCACTACGATAAACATCAGACCCTACCGGACGACCGTCAGATGCAGCTGGAAGCCTGTCGTATCATTTTCGCCTCTGAAATCCTGTCGATCCGAGAGATCTCGTCCGAATTCTCCTGGCTGCGTGATCTGATCATGTCAGACGAGGAAGTCAAACTAGCAGCCAAGTACGGTCCTATTCGTCAAGCGGCTGAGAACAGGCTGTCTTCCTTGAAACTAGCCTCCAAAGATACCATTTTCCAGACTTGTCCTTTGGAAAACCAGCTTCATGAGTTCGTTAGAGCGAAGAGGCTACTGGGACTCACCGCCATGGATGATGAGCTTCAGCAAACGGCGGCAGAGATTGTTGGACGTGTCGAAGAGGTTTCGATCAGTCCTTCGGATCACATTGCCAGTTGGCTCGTAAGGTGCATCTTCTCCTCGACCAACTGGCTCGCCAACTTCCGGCAACGAGCCCATCTTCCCCGAACTGAGGACATTGTGGTTGTCAACGAGCGGTCGACGGATACCACCAAAATTGACTCGACTATCCACAACTACAGCAGACTGGAACACTCCCTGGCAGACTTCATGGAAAAGCAGAGGGCTTTGGGAGTCGAGCCGGACGACGCAGCCCTGCAGCGAGAGGCCAGGATGGTCATTTACGAGTTCGACGACGGCTGGAACCAGACCGCCGCTG